TTAACTTTTGGAGGGCAGTGTATTTCCTCTGTGTTTGGAAATAATAATTTTCTTTTCCCCTTAGGAATATTTTTAAGAATACATAAGTTTATAATAGAAGGCATGTAGATTGCATTTGGCATTCTGTGACACATTTGTCCACAGACGTTGCAACTGGGCTCCTAGAATTTACACATTGGCAGAATAATGAAGTTAACATCCTGCCTAGTCTCATAAATGCTTGACTGGAGATAAATTTGGTGATTAGATAGGTCAAAGTGCATTCAACTGGTGAAGGTATTCTTCAGAAACCCTTGCTGTGTGTAGAAGAGAATTATCATATTGAAAAATGCTTATTGGTAGCAGTGCTGTACGAAGCAACACATGTAGCCATAGGATATCCTGCACATATTGCTGAGCCATTAATATCTCTCATATTATTATTATTAGGGGTGGCCAAGACTACATAAAATAGTTTATCTACATAATCAGTTTGTTGCAATGGAGAACTAATAGCATTATCACAAGTCTTGCCAACGAGATCCAGCATCAATCATTTCATAACTGCTTCAGAGAGAATTGCATTCTGAGTTTGCAGTGATCCAACATTCACATCTGGATATCTCTTTCTTGATCACTAATGCTTCATTCAGACAATGGTTTTTTGATCAAAAAGCTTTGTAGTTTAAAGCATTTGCACCATTAAGCCCATTCACACCCATTTAACAGGATTTAAGCCACACCTGATCAAGAAAGAAGAAATTGCGTATGTTAAATGTGTAGATGACTCAGCGAAACCTTTGATGTTATGACTGGTACTTCTTCTACCAACTTGACATAAAGTTGAAAAGTTAGAATTTGAAGGCAAAATTCTTAAGCCAGCTTTTGTGACATAGCAAGGTCTGGTTATTTAGCAAAAAAAGTTCGGCATAGATATTTTATGACTTCAAAAGCACTGTTTGAATGAAGCTCAAGTATCGCAATCTCAAGGACACATCTTTAAATTAGGTTAAAGCAGTGGTTTCCAAACTGTGTGTCATGGCTCCCTAGCCCCTTCACAGAGGTGCCACAAAATACTGCAAAAGCTTCAATAATTAATTGAACTAAGACATTTGGCCTAACTAAAACAAACAAAAAAAAAAAAAAAAAAAGTGAGAAGATAAAAATATCTAGATTTTTTTTTTTTTTTTTAGTTTGTTTTTATTTGATAAAAATAAAACCACAAGCACAGAATATCCTTGCGAGCGGGAGACAGCAATGCTGCACCTTCTCGATCATGCAATAATTGATGACAATCTATCCTGAGAACACGTACAAGGCTAGAAGGACTTTCACGGCTCATTCCGCAAAAAGAAGCCATGAACTTTTCTTCGTATTTTGTTGTTAAAGTTAGCTCATTATATTGTTTGATGCAGGTTTGCCTGTACTGACTTTGACTTTCAGAGGTTGTTTTTCCCCTCATAGTCGAAAATACAGCATTTTCTTTTAAGTCAGATTTCATGCGATTTATGCTAGTCACAGAAACGCTAGCCAAATCAGCAGCAAAAGTAATAATTTCTTTACTAGACTTTTAAAATCTAAATCTAAGTCCAGTGAAATTAAACTCAGCACTTCACACTGTTGCGTGCACATGAGTTCATAACAGACTGAATGCACACAGGTCCGATGATAGGTTAATCAAATTTTTTTTTTTTTTTATCAAATGAAACACTTCAAAGTTCTGGAATTTTCCAGAGAAATACCCATACAGGTGTTCATAGTATCACAGACCATAATCAGTAGTTACATTTCATTAAGAATGTTAAATACAACACAATGTACAGCGTACCTAAATAGAAAGGTAATGCAGAGATATCTCAGCTCACGGTGAACCAGCAACTCGCAAGAACAATAACTGAGGGCAGATGCTCTCTCCCACCTTATATAGTTTTCAACTGGCTGCCGAGATATTTCTAGTAAAATTGCTGGAAAGCAATATGAAGGTCCAATTATGGTTGCAGCTAATATAGTGATCAACTACATTTATTTAATTACAATACCTATTATGGTGATACAGGGACCGGACAAAAATGTCACCAAACAGCTACCATTTGGCGACTTTCGTCGATTTCTTGCCAAATTTGGCAATAAGATCATCAAAATCATTGTTAGCTTGGCAATATCTTGCCAAATTATCGAGATACTCAGTTACTTCAATGCTAAATGAACTTGTCCCTGTATTCTTACTTTTCCAGCATTGCTTACCTCTCTAGATTTTTCTTGTTACATAATGCAGCAAAATACAACAATTTCCTGAGATGCACAATAAATGCACTAAAATCATCTATTTATGTACAAAATTTTTAAAAGTATAAATAAAAAGTGATATAAGTAAATTATTTCATGTTATATTATTTCTTGTCTGTTCCCTTTGAGAAACAGTTTTGTGATTTCCTGCTCTTGTTTTTTGACGATGGATCAATTTTTGAGTTTTTGAGTAGTAATAAATGTAATAGTGCAGATAAAGAAAGTGTGCCATCGATTGTGTAGAAATGAAAATATTGTAAATATGAAGACAGCTATTCACAGTTTGATTTTATGTCTACATTAATGAATGGTGAAGAGAGAAGACCCCCCATATGCACTGGTATTAAAATTTTGGCAGCAGAGTATATGGTTTCAAATAAATTGAAGTGCCATTTAGAAACTAATCACAAAAGTTTGCTTGGGAAACCTCGTAATTTTTTTGCCTTGAAGTTAAAAGAACTGAAACAACAAATTCTTAGGACTGCATTAATGCCAAACAATGCTTCACTTACAGAATTATGAAATGTACAAAGCCTCATACTATCCCAGAACTTATTCTACAGTCTTTTGTGGATATGGTGAAAGTTGGAGAATACAACATATGACGGAGAATATCAACCATAAATTAACTGAAAAAATAAAAGAGTGAAATTTGGATAGCAGCTAAATGAGGCTGGTTTATCCAATTATCTGGTTTGAGAAATACTTTCGAAATGAAAATCTCGATAGGTTAGTGTGGATTCCAGTTCCATTTAACACTAATGTTCCACCTGAATTTACTTGTGCAGAAGAGAAGAATCTTATTGAATTATCTTGCAACAAAAGTTTGAAAGCAAAATTTGGCAATGTGGAATTGACAGAATTTTGGAAGATGAATATCGCCTTCAAAGTGATAAGGCTCAGTGGAAATTAGGGTGGCTGTGTGTTTAATTCCAAGCTCTGAGAAAATGTGCAGTGATTTGCTTGGCTCATTCATCATATTAATTATTCATTTAATGTTAATAAAATAAAAAATGTCAAATAATGAAAATACATAAGCTTTATTTATTTTTACTTCTCATTTACAATTAGTCATACCATTATTTAAGATAAGGAGCCATAGAAAAATTTTGATTGATAAAAGGCGCTGCGTCTCGGAAAAGTTTGGGAAACACTGGGTTCAACTATTACACACATTTAAATATTTTTTTATTTTCTTTTACTTTAAATGGGGTTTGGAATTTTTTGGGTGCTTATATATGTACATATATAATTTCTTGTAGTCTTTAACTATATTTGATAAATGTTTAAAAAACAAAGAGTGCCCATTAAAAGAAATTAGAAGTAAAATTTAGGCCATCTTAGAAACAGGAAAAATTAATTTTTTTTTAAAAAAACCTCATTAAAAAACTTTTTGGTGAACATCATAAAAGTTTAAACATGATAATTCAAACCAAGCAGAAAATTACAGGTTGTATTGCTGCAGGTTCCGAAATACACATAGGAAAATGTAATCTCTTAATTGTGCAGGGCAATAATAGAGAAAGAAAAATAGTATGCATTACATAATCGGCTAATATCCACCTGACATATATAATGAACACAATCTTAATACAAATTGGGGGGGGAGGACAGTGCACTCTGTTTTTAGATCCTAACTCTATTTATGTTCTTTCTATTTTTTTTTTCCCAGGGTATTTTTCCTGAGCCTAACCACTCCATTATTCATCTTGTGAAGAAATTATACATATAGTACTCGTATTTCAATTTTTCTAATAGGGCATAATAATTGAGAAATTTATTTTCTAGTACATAACATCATTCACTAATGAAAAATTTGCAAATTAACCAACTTTTTTTTTTGAAAACTACAAAGCTGAAATTAAAAATATTGCATAAAATATATATCCACAAAGGATGGGCAATCAAAATCTTTATTCTCTTATTCATTGCACAGAAATAAGAAACTGGTAGTTTACTGCTTGTTAAACCTTTAGCTGCTTGATGAGTAATATGATAGTCAGAGTGTTTGTAGTTTAAAAAATATAGCTATTTTTAGTACACTGGTCAAGTCTCTTCCATGTTCTTCCCGTGATTATTATTTTTTTTCCGGAGGTTTATGGAATAAAATTACATCAAACATTAGCAGTATCTTATTTTAAGAAGATTTTAAGAAGAACTTCCACCAAGGAGAACAAGCTACCTACTACCTCACTTTATTATAAAACAGATACTGTAGAAGATGAAATGAAAAACCTAACAGTTTTCATATCATATATACACAACAATTATTAATTGACTTTCAGGTATAAGGTGATGATAATGAAAAAAGGCAATAGGTCCTATGAAGAATATGAGGAGGAAATAAAGCATATACCATCTGCAAATGCTTTTCTGGATAAAAAGCTGTGGATTAAAAAAAAAAAAAAAAAAAAAGAAGTATAAATTAGAAGACTGTGTACTGAATGGGTTTCCAGAAAAAATCAACAAAGAAGTCTTGAAAATGAAATCTTTAAAACAGGCACATCTGTCCTCCTAAATACCCTCCAGAAAATTTAAAGTTCTCAATTGCATATTAAACTGAATACAAGTCATAAAATAGATTGCCAGTAGTTTTAAACACACTAAATATTACCATTTCTCAACAGAAATTATTATAGTAAACAACTGCACATTCATTCTAACCAATATAACCAAATACAAAGAACAAATATGGCATTGGAGAACCATATGTATGTATATAACTTACAAGATACCTTTCAGATTTTATCATTTCTTTACTCTAAAGCTACACATACACTGGCAGGCTGGGAATATTTGATTCATCCTTTTTTTATTTTTATATCCATATTTTCAATTAAATCTGTTTATAGTAATTGTGCTATTTTCATTAATGTCACTGTAACCATATCATTTTCTTTTCATGTTCTATTGGACAAAAAACAATTTTTACACCTTTTAGTTTTTGAAACAGTACATTATATTATAGTACAGAAAATGAATTTCAACATTTTTCATTTGCTTTTGGCAGATTAAGCTAAAATATAAAAATCACTTACTTTGACACATAAAAGAAAGGGTATGCAACAGTATATATACATATATACAACATGCAATGTAACATAATATAAATGATAAATTATTTAATGCTGGCAGTGTTTTACAATGCATAATTTGTGAGTTATTTACATAGCTTTTATTATTATCATCTGTGTTACGTTTTGGACCATACATTACTTGCAGATATAAGGATTCTACTATTTATCCAGACTGAAATTTTAAACAGTAATTTATTTAAAAGGATAATTATTTTAAAAAAAAAAAAAAAAAACCTTCATTAAACTTTACACAAGTTGCACCTCTTCAGTTGGTGCTCTACATATGACAACTTGCATGATCTGTCATGTGTTGAATCTATTGTCATTAATTTATGTATTTATCACAAAGATGGAATTATTACTAACACTTAGAATTCACAATCTGTTTACACTAAAACTGAGTACTCTGGTTTTAAGTCTCATTAATTTCTTACCATAAATATTCTTCAACATATCAACTAAGATACCAAGAAGCTTACCTATGCTTGGAAATACAGGCTTATTGAAAACATTAAATGAATGAATGAATGTAAAGACATTGCATTTAGCACTATGGGATCAGACTGTCACAGAAAAACGAGATTTTTAAGTCTACAGCACTAAATAAAAGCTCTAAAAATTCACAGTTATAAAATTTTATTATAATCATGAATGGATGCATTCCTTCTTTTAAGCTTTGTTTTACCATTTACATCACAATAATATATATAATTAAAGGGGAATACTATTAAAATTCTTATATTTTTAAATTAAATTAAGAATTATAATTTGAAGTCTAAATAAATTCCACTTTATAAATTCTTAATTAGCTGATTTAACTTTTACCATTTAATGCTTGTAAAAATTTTTCTAAAACTTTTTTTAATAGTACTTAAAAATAAAGAATCTGTAAATTTGAATTTATTTAGACTTATAATTATTAGAATTTTAATAGAAGTTGTTCCCCTTAAATTATAATTATGTTTAATTAAATCAATGCAGTCTAGGTGAAGGATTCTTATGAGTTCTTTCTTACATTTGATTATTTGTTAATATTTATATATATGTGTGTGTATATATATATATATATATATATATATAAAACAGCAAACCTCAAGGTTAGGTATGTATTGCTGATTCCCTTAAAAACTGATTTCTGTAGTTTGACAATGGCCAAATCCCAAGATCAGAATTAAGAAGCATAATCTGTATATATCTTTCATGTATTCAGTTTACTAAGATCTTCATAAGAAGCATAATCTGTATATATCTTTCATTTATTCAGTTTACCAAGATCTTCATATGGAGATTTATTTAAGTAATAATACAGTCAAAAGTCTTTAATGCGGATTCGTCGGGATTTTGGCCGTTCCGGATTATCGATCATCAGTTTAAATCTGGTAAGATAGCATGCAGAAATTATAAAATTAAAAATATGAAACCGTAATTTCTGAAATAAACAGCAATTATGATCTAAAGGGTATCAAAATTTACAACAAAAAAAAAAAAAAAAAAAAAAAGAGCTCAATGTTTATTTGTTTACTTTATTAAACATTTCTTTCAACCTGCGCATGTGTAAAGCACATATTACGCATTGTCGAAATTAGAAAATTGCAACCAGAAAACTATTTGATGTGTATTTGTGTTATGTATAATGACGAAGAATTTGTTTTAAATCATATCAAAGACGGAGTACATCGAGATGAAATACTACATTTAGTAAGGAATTATAAGCCGAATAAAATAAAAACATCTGCCCTGAAGATAAGGATAGTGCTAACAGATCAACTTCCAGTTCATTGAGCGCCACGATGCCCCCCCCCCCTGCAGAGCAGCGTGAAATTGATAAACAGATTTCGGAATGGTTAGAGAAACAAAGGATATGCCTTTATCCATTTTTTGCAGCAATTCCACTTTTCGTTTGATGGACATCGAAACATGCTTTCGCTTTGTTGATCCTTTGGCAGCTCTAGAATTGGAAATTCTTTTTGACATAATCGAAATTTCAAGCTTACTTTTATAAAATTGCTCTAACAGTGTTCAAAAAATAATAAGCCAGATCCAATTAGAAGATTAAAGAACAATGCAAACTGCAACATTAACTGAAATATATAATTAGATAATTTTAGCTTAGGTTATACCGTCCGTTATACATTAAACACGCATGTGTAAACGCATCGAAGAAAGTTTGTAGTTTTGAGGTCCGGATTATAGATCATTCTGGATTATTAAAATTTATAAAAACATCTGGTTTATTGTTGTTTCATTTTATAACGATGATTGTAAGAAATGAGTAATTTAATATTTTAAAGATTTATAAGCATTCCATTTTTTTCAGACACAAATGTTAAATTTTCCTTGCTTAAAATAAGAAGAGATTAATACCTTTGAATTTCATATAAATCAGCATAAAATTATACTTATTCACATGAAAAAGAATGAAGATTAGCTATTTCCTTTTTGTTCTGAACTTTCGTGGTACAGAATATATCCCAGAAATATTCCTTTTCTATAATATTGCATCTAATATATAATTAAGGTATTTAAAACAAACTTGGGAAAGCGAAAGGAATGAAGGATTAATAATATTTTACACATATACTATTTAAGTCAATAAAACAGATATACAGTTTTAGGTAAAATTCAATATCATACCTAAAACTGAATTTTTTCACCCTAATTTATTTTACTCGTATTGTTAATGCAATTTCTAAACTACACATAACATGAACTGCTTAAGTTAGAAGCTATATATGGATCCAAAATTTAAAACAACATTAAAAAAAATTAGATTATTTACCTCGTATTATCACAATGCTCTTACTTGATTTCACACATAAATTAAAAAGACACATATTGATCAATCTGCAAATGAAAATTTATAATCATTCTGCCTGTTTCTAATGGAGTTTCTAAATATTTCTTTATCGCAGATAAGCAGGTGCAACTTGGAACACTAGCTTCAAAGCAGAGCCAGGTAGTCAGCAGTGATAGGAAGGGAAAAGAAGTGGAAGCAGTAATAGTTTTATCTGTCTGCAGGCACAGCACATTTTCTAGAGGAATGATCACTTACACTACTTCCTCATTTTAATGATTGATGTGTTCCTAGAAAGTTGTGCATGAATAGGAAAAGAATGCCCTATTAATTTGAATATACTGATAGTAAATAAACCTGTATAAATATCAAAATAAAAAATAAAATAATTAGCATCTGTTGATTAAAATGTTAGTTATTAAAAGAAAAGAAATCTGAAGGTAAAAAAAAAAGAAAAAACAGCAAAACTAAAAAGAAAGCTTGGCATTTAAAGGCAAAAAAATTATTTAGAATTAATATGAAGAATGGCAAGTTAAATGGTTATTAATTATGCAAAGTATTTGAAGGCATTTTCCCAGTAAAAAATGTTTCTACAGAAGATTTTCTGACAGGAAACATCTCATATTTATAACAAACATTGGGGGAGCTAAGAAAACACACATGCAGCCAGCTTGTAAGCCACTAGACATCAGAGCTTTAGAAGAAACTAATGATGTTACAAGGACTTCAGACATTAAGATGCCTAATAAGATACGCAATCTCATGAGGTTGATAAATACAGCTGACACAACTCACTGCTATTAAATAAGCAGCAAGGAGTATTTTTTTAGGTAAATGTGATTTCATTTTTGTGGAATTTTTTACATTTTTTTTTATTAAAAGAAAGCTGTTTCTATTCTATCATTTGAAACTTCTTTAAGGTATGAAACATAGAAATGTAATATATGTCAGTAAGGAAAAATTACAAAAGCATATTATTAAGCACATTGAAATGACATAAGTGTTAGGAACGTAGAACAATAAATGCAAATTTTCAAGACATGGGGTAAAGATATGAATGAGAAATATCTGAATGCTTGGACTTTGATGGATGGACTACTCCAGTTCAGTTTTGGTGTTATGCATTCACATTACTCAGACTTTAGATCAATTTCATAAGGATTTCGTTTTCAAATGAGCATATTATATGGCAAAAACCCAGGAAAACTGCATATAATAAAAACATTAATGATTTCAGTATCTAAACAATAGATGGCAGCAATCATTACAACTTCATGGCACAAGATTATAAACATTTTATATACTATTGATTGCACAGCAAAAGAAGTAAATAACAAACTTGGGGTTTTCTTTACAACTTTAATATATGAATTATTTTAATACAGTGTTCGAGTGATACTTTTTTTATAAATATGTCAGCAGTGTTTTTGATAACCTTGTACATGTACAATAATTACTTTATTCAACTAAAAATAATGGCTGGGCTTTAAGCTTTATCTAACATAGCTATGAGTATAATCGCACACAGTTATCAGGTAGAGTATCTCACATCAGTATCATTAAATTAGTGAAATTTCACGTTAAAATATAAAAATTACTTTATTGAAATCACAGCTTCTCAGCAGTTCACTTATCATTATCATAAATGCAAACCATTTAAGTTTGCACCTTTAAAGCAAGCAGATAAAATTTCCACAAACAGTCAAAAATAAAACTTTAAATTTGTAATTTATGAATAGTTATTATTCACAAGAAACTTGCTAAGATTAAGAATGCAAATAAAACACTTAATAAAGATAATAATGACTTAACATCTGTAGCAAACTTATCTAGAGCTTTCTTACCAGGAGGGGAAAAAAAAAAAAAAAAGTTTGTTCAAAGTGAAGAGGTCAAATCTCTTTCAAATGAAAAAATTCAAATTCAAACTTTAAAAAAATCAGAACTTGATCAAATTTTTACCTTATGATTTCATGACACATTGAGAATTCATAGTAAAATTAGCAAATCAGCCAGTAGAAATCTGAAACTCTGTGAAATTTTTATTTTTTCCTGTTGGTACTTAAGAATAATGAAATTTAAACATTTCTCATTGCTCCTGAACTGTTACTAATATCTACCATGAATGAGTGGATGGTGTAATAATTAGTTGCCTTTAGCATAACAGTATTCCAGCATTGTTATTATTTTGCATTCTTGCAACTTTCGCTATTCACAAACAACAAAAATAATAAAACTTTAATTTCTACAGATCACATTTAAAAATACAGATGATGCTTCCTCTCCCACCACTGTAAATGTTTATAATTAGAGATACAATCATCAACACAAAATTTAAGGATTCATAAGAACCATCAAAAGCTTGTTATAGCAGACCTAGCAACAGGCACAGATAATATTTACACCTCAACTACCCATTACCCCAGTTTTCCTGGTTAAAATCCTACACATCATGATTAAAAGTATCAGTTTGCCACAATAGTTTAACTTCTGTAATTATAACCATATTATTTCTTTTAAAATTAAAATACAACACACATTACTGCATTTATCATAGCAAAATGTTGACTTTCTTGAGAGAATTCCGTAGATTTACAAGACTGTTAATATAGTCATGCCACATTTTATGATACATCTAAAATAAATGCCTAACTATTAATTGTATGTTCACATTTAGCAGTAATCACATGCAGAGATTCCTGTTTTAATAAGAAGCAAATTTTAAATTTCTTGTTTTCCTTATTCTTTTCCCATTTAGAATAATTTGAATTAAAAAAAAAGCAATAATAAAAACTAAAAGTAATGAAAATAATCAAAGAAATTTGTGACAAAATCTGATTTTTTGATGGGTACTCTTCTATTATTGGGACTGGATTCAGAAATGATGTATGCATGTGTATATGTGTATGCACATACACGAACATATACATCCAAACATTTCTGAATCTGGTTTCGATAACAGACAAGTACCCAACAACGTTTATGTTAACTTTAAACACCTGCAGTAAAATATTAAGGACCACACATCATAAACATTCACTTATATTTTGGTAAAATCCATATTTTATAAATTTATGTGACATTCACTAGTATCCTTAATGGGGGTAATATAATAAATTTCAGAAAAAGTACTATGTATTAAAGAATTATTATTTTGAAACTTATCTGCTAACCTGTAAATCCTGAGGGTATATAGCTTAAAGTGATTTTCTAAAATGTTTATTATGACTCATATTGACAAGAAATTTTATGAATCTAACTGCCAAACAAGGCTGATTAATAGTAAATAAAGATTAAATTGTTAGAAATTATCAATTAAAGCATTCAGTTACTTTTATTTTAGGAAATATGAGAAATTTAGGATTACTGTAAATTGTAAATCAACATATGTTATACTTTTAAAAAGATATAATATTATGTACAGATTTACAGCAATGTAACTATATAAAATAGTTCTGTCCTAAATGTAGACTTTTGCACTGCAAATGTGCATACCTATATATCTACATAAAGTATACACACCGAGTTTAACTTTTCAGTATGAATTTGTAATAGCTCTGAATAGCTTCAATATCTGTATCATTAGTTAGCCAAAAAAAAAAGTATTTATTCAAATGTAGAAATTCATTTTAACATTAATTAATGTGGACAGCTGTGCAAACAAGTTTGCTGTAAAATTTTCTATTACAACTAATACTGATATGACTATTATGAAAATTATACATATGATATTCAATTTACACACTAATAGCAACTGTGCATGTATATATTTCATGATGACAAAATTGATGAAAATTACAGCTCTCTTAAAATTTGTATATGCATGCATGCCCAAATGCACACAAAAAAGCAGGTATTCATATACTTTCAAGATGATACAATGCAAGTTGCAAGCTTCTGAATGCACATGCAAATACAAAACTACAAACATATACATGGCAAAGATTAAATACAAAGATTCCACACAACTTACTCTTTGAAAACAGACAATCATAATGGAAATTAGAAATACAGTACAAAGTCCGTAATCCGGACGTCCATTATCCGGAATGATCTATAATCCGGACCTCAAAGCCACAAACTTATGCATACGCGTAAAACATTTATGCATGCGCTTTTAATGCGCATGTCAGCTACGCATGCGCGTAAAGCATTTACCCATGTGCACTTCCGATAGAGAAGAAAGTGACAGAGAGGTTATTGAAAACGAAAAAATTTCGATTGACAAGTTAGTCTGCATTCTCGACACAGCAATTACAGGACTTGAACAGTGGAACTGTGTAACTGAACAAGAAATTATGTCTGTTTGTAGAATTAAAGAGAAAGTATTAGCACAAAAAATGAAGCAACTTAAACAACTTACATTGAAAGAAATGTTTAATAAAGTAAAACAAATAAATATTAAGCTTTTTTTTTTTTTTTTTTTTTTTTTTTTTTTTTTTGTAAATTTTGATACCCTTTAGATCATAATTGCTTTTTATTTCATAAATTACAGTTTCATATTTTTAATTGTATAATTTTTGCATGTTATCTTACCAGATTTAAATTGATGATCTATAATCCGCAAAAACCCCTAATCCGGAATCGCCTGACAAGTCCGGATTATGGACTTTGTACTGTATAATTGTAATTAATGCAATTCATTTTCAAAATAATTATAATTCATACAATTTACACATATTAAAACATTTTACATACATGTACATAATATTTTTAAAAATAATGATACACAAATAAATTAGCAAACACTATTTTTGAAATTTAAGTGATATTGGATTATATGGAAAATTTTGTGGTTTTCAAAGGTAAAATTTTATTAAGTAATATGAAATCGGTTCAAAACTTTATTTAACAATAAAATGTCTATTTTGTTCAGTGATTTTTTGCCATAACCTTCTTTTAAAAAATTCTTTAGATTTATTGGAAAAGAAGAAATCAAAATATTTTTCGATGCCTTCCAAATATCTGAACTCTTCATTATTAAGAGAATTTTTAAATGACCTAAAGAGACTGAAATCCGAAAGTTAAGTTCAAATGAATGACAGAAATGAATAAATCATCCCAGATGAATTCAGTGAATTGTATATTGAATATTCATTGAACTGTGGAGCATACATTATCACGATGAAACAAAATACCTTAATGACTAGTCTATCTGAATGTTTTTACCAACTTCTGCCTTCGGAATTGCTAATCAAGAGCAGTATTTGTTAGAAGAAACAGTCTGATTAGGTGTAATAAATTATTTCTTTATAATCTCGATTATAAAAAGCATCATTTTTGGGAAGAGAAAGTATCTGGAGGTCAATGAAGCAAGTCATTAGATTTATCCCGTATCTATTCTGCAAAATATTCTTATAAAAGATCTATTCTCACTTTTAGTGAAGTGATTCAAAAAAGGACCTTTTTCATTTTTTTTTTTTTTTTTTTTTCAAGGGCAATTACATGCTGAAACTTGGGCACTTTTTATTCTCCATCAAAGAATGGGATATCTAAATATTACAGTGGCTTACTTTCAAAGCACCTTTAATGATTATATGTACATGCTTTTTGGAATATTTAATTGATCTGCTAGTTCTTAAATTTCATTATGACAGTTTCATTAATGACTTCTTTTAGTAGGTCTTTATTTCAAGATAAAGGATATTCAGAGGCCTGACATCATTTTTTATGCTGAAATTTTTTTGGCATTTAAACTATTTCTGAACATGCCACAGCTTAAATTAATGCTAACCCATATCAGGAGTAATATAAAAATGCATGATTTGAAAAATTGCAGTGCTTTTTGAATAGCACACTGTAATTATTACCGAATGATATTGTTTATTACAGCTTATTGATAAGAGCTATAGCACAGATTACTTAACAATTAAGACAGCAAATTTATTTGATGCTACTTGATGTCATCAAGATAGTGTTAATATGAACTTTATCAGCATCTTGATGACAATGATAATGATAGTATTAACATCAAGATAGTCCAAGATAGTGTTAATATGAATAAGAAAATGCCTGCTCTACAACAGCTTTATGTTAAGCTTGGAAAGATATATGCATAACCTTCAGTTATGTTTGAGAAAAACATGAATATTATTTCTATATCATAAATAAAATTACCTTTGATATTTTTAATAGGAACACAGAATACTGCTTTTTACACTAAAACTCACATTTTAAGAATACACATAATGATTGAGACTTTTGTTCATAAGTGTAGTGAAAATAAAGACTTTTTTTAATTTTATATTTTATTAATTGATTTTAAGAAATAAAAGACAATCACTGATACATATTTCTACTAACCTCTTTAAATTTTATAGATTGTAATTGAAATTCCGCTAAATCTATTATTCTATCTTTTAAAAAATGCTTTATTAATAAAGTTACCCTGTGTTAATATTCCATCATATAACTTTATCAGCATTTGAGCATTAAAATTCTTTTAAATTGACATAAAAGGCAGCTAGTGAGAAAAATATCTGTTTGATTTAAAAAATGCTCTTCGAGTGTCATATAAACTCTTACGGTATAAACTCGGATATAATAATTAATTTATATCTGCGTTTTTTATGTAACAACCATTTAATCTTGATAAATCATATGCAAATCATTAATTGTGCACAATTATCAAAATTCTATACAATTTTCTCTAAATTAAGATCATACATGTTTGACACATTTTCTTACTTTGTTCTACCCAGAACAAATAAATTTTGGAGATTTTTTTTTTTTTTTCCCATTTTTAAGCTATTTTTTTCGAAATTAATTCAATTCAGCATAAGATTACAAAATTTCCAGCTCTTTAATTCCAGAACCATTCAAAATATTAAACAAAACAAAACAAAACCAAAAAAAAAAAAAAAAAACTATCATTCATCGTTCACTTCTTAACTTACCAACTACAAGGAAAACTGTTCTATCATAACTAACATGCTATTGAATTAATAGATTCTCAGTCTTATTTATCACTTTTTTACATACCTTTGGCAACACAAATTAGCCAGAATAATTAATGGTAATTTATTTCAAATATCAACACAGGAAAGTATCTCAAATCAACAATGCTAAGATTTATTTGTTAAATAATAAAGCTAAATATGCAAAACAATATGATGAAAAACTTCCTGCAATTGGTCATAAATGTTACCTGTTTTCCGAAGCAGCTTTAATAATTTTTACAAGAAATAAGCTAACCAAGGCAACAGCAGCCATCCCAAGGCCAGCTTTCACCCATACAGTAGAATCTTGTGCCAAAGGTAAATGCCTAAAATGACTATGAAACTATTACAATTTGAAATGAAAATCGTTATTAGACTACAAAAGCATACAAATCAATATTTTATTAAAATCTAGAGTTAAACGACATAAATTTTAGTTACAAGTTTTAAATAAAAAGACAGTTTTTTCCCTATTTATAGTCACGCTGATAATCAAAATTTTAGGATATCAAGTGCCATTAAAAGATATTTTAATAATCATTTACATCCATTTTTTGATTTAAAGAAAAGTTTCAAAATTTACCTTTCTTCAGTGCTGTCTCCATTTGGCATGAAATTAACTATTTTTCATAATTTACAAAATCATTAAATGTATTGCTATGCTTCATAAAAAGGGTTTACAGTTAGGCAAATTTATTATGCCAGAAACCTTCCACATGCTTTATACAATAAGAATTTATACAGAGAATGACACAACACCTCAAGCAGGGTTCATAGCCACATTTTAGTTAAAAAAATAAGCACCTAAAAGCACTTTTTAAGCACATTAAAAAAAAGAAAAAAGAAGCACCTGTCTAATTGTCATTACATTATAAACAACTGCATAACCTTAAAAGGAAAAAGATTTGTAACTTAAAATATGAGTAATTCAGTATTTATTAAGAGAGAATGAGCATTACTCAACCATGGAAAACAATTATGTTCTTTTTTTTTTAAATTTTAAATAGCAGTTCAATTTACAGAACTAGTTTAAAATGAGAGAAAAAAAAACTATGCAGAACTAAATTATACAACAAGATTTAATGATGAAATTTCAGTTAAAAGTAGAGAAAATAAATAATAATAACCCATATTTATTATATTTGCTTGGCACCTAAAAATAAATACAATTTATTTCTCCACTCATATTAATATTTAAATAATTTAACTTGAATCAAAATTCTGAACATTTTCTAAATTTTCATTGCATAACAGTTTTCCCTTAACAGATATTGCAAGCAAAGTAATTTAAGTAAAAAAAAAAGGAACTTTTCTGAAATCAGAAGATGGGAAATTGCTTCATGCAGTCATCCTTTAACAGTAAAAGCTTAACTACCCGGCATACTCAGAAATTGCCAAATATCTGAAAATTCCGAATAGTCGAGCGTAACTCGTAAAAGTGGAAGGCGGTAGATCATAACTGTTCTTTAGATTTTTCAGCTAAATAATGCTTTTGACATTTTGATATGTGCATCATATAAAAAATAGCCCAATGAAACTGAGAAATAATCTGCTTTAGCAAGCACAGTAAAACTCTTTTATCTCTGTGAAATATTGCAAACGTTATTGTGCAATATGTGCGCCTTAATTCTTCCGCACATGATACTACGAAATCGGAAATCAACAGTTGCCGGTATTCAAGAATAAATAAAACAACCCTTTGCTTCACCCGGTTTTCACCATCATGCACCCACGTGGCATATTTATCATTCAGCAGGACACATCTAGAATCATTCTTCCCTTGGGTTGGTAGACTGCAGAACTTTTAGTCCTATTCAATCCAGATTGGAAAGTGACAAAAAAAAAAAAAAAAAAAGTCTGTTGCTTGCTTTGCTGCGAACTGTAATAGTTTCAATATTTGAGATTTTGCAGAGAAAGGGGAGAACCCCCAACTTTCTGTACTGTATAATGCATTGCCCCCCCAAAAGAAATTATTTTGACTATTCGATTACTTTCACTTTATTTATGGCATTCCAAATATTATTCCTTAAAAAACTAATCTGTGTTAAAACACACCCATTTTTGAAGTTTATCTATACTTCAGCAGTTACTGCAAATATATTATTATAAATATTCATACATATGCACATAATATAAGCATACCGATCATAATAAACATGAATATGAACTGACCACACAGAACGAGAATGTAAATTATTAATATCTTGATAGAAATTCAAACGTTGGTTTGGACACGTCATTACGTTTTCATTTTAAATCTTCATAGTGCACATTTTGAAATTTACAATTCCCAAAACAAAACTTAGGGCCAAAAAAAAAAAAAAAAAAAAAAAAAAAATCTGAAATGTTTCAGATTTTAAATTACGTCCAAAGGGGCGTTTTTTAACATTTTGTGTGTTACCTTTCTTTATTAAATATCATGTTCCTCGCACTTAAACCATAAGATCCAGTGCAACAGCAATATCGCAAAATAGTTTTAAAACGAGCATATCTTTAGAATTTCCGATACAGAGACTCACGCGCTGGAGATAAAAATGTTTTTTCTGCACAACGTTGCCATTGCTCGCTTTGAAATCCTTGAGTTTGTTAATCAAAAATTCGTCAAAGTTTTAAAAAATAGGAAATCGATCATAAAAAATTTCAAATTTCAAATTTGGTCTTCCACATGCTCATATTCGTTGGAGGATTACGTTATTCAAAATTCGATGACTCTATGTACCGTTTTTTTATGACAATACGAGAAATATACATACATTTACGCAGATTTTTCATTATTTAATTTCTTCAAATATAATGCAGGACTCTAACATTTTATGGCAACAGTTTGAAAAGTGAACCGACATTTATGAGTCCGACGCAAAATGCCAAAACGAAACTAATAGTCCTTCGGGATTCAAATCCCTTTGGACTAAAAAAAAAAAAAAAAAACAAAAAAAAAAATCAGGGTTTAATATTTCAAAGCCTATTTGACTCTGGAAAAAAACCGCGCTATTAAAAATAAATTAGTGTTGCTCAGAATTATATATTTTTTATAAGAATACTTAAATCCATTAAGAACAACATTTTGAGGTTGGTGAAGGCCTGAAGAATCTAGAATATCTTGATATAATATAATGATTTTTGTAAATATGAAGAATACAATTTTTAATTTAAGTAATTCATGTTCTTGCATCTAACTCGGATGCTTTTTGGATGCCTTATAGAACTGCTGCCTTATTTCTTGTTCACTATCATTACTCTTCCCTACATATCAGAAGCATGGTAGTGGTTAAGTATTTACCAAGTGTGACGGTTATAAATTTAAACTAAATTTCATTATGTAATTATGAATACAATTTTATAAATGGTTAACACATGCATTTTAAGAATATCTAATATATCAAGATTTTCCTCCATAATAGATAGAAAAATACCACAGATTTCTAACCTTCTGTGAACAAGAAGACAGGAGGTTTGCTTATGTACTTACAGGACAGTCTGCTTCATCCACAATATGTTACCAATAATTATGTGAAAAATCATTAGAAATTTTAAAATCAAATGAAAGAGCACACTGAAACAGAAATATTGGATGAAGCACAAAAAAGATAACATTAATCACCTTGAAAGATATGTTTCCTGAAAGATTCCCAAGGCAAACTGACTTCTCTATTTATTTACCTTACATATAAATACACACTATTTTTCAAGTTTATTTCTGGTAATCCAAACAAAGCAATGTTTTAAGGATGAATCTTGTCTATTAAAATTTTCTTTAATTATCATTAGAAATATATTTAAAGAATATCTTCTGTTTATTAGGATGAAAATTATTGAATGAATATATTAACTATAAAAAAAAAGTGGGCCACATGAACTCTTAAATAAACATTTTCAAATAAATTCAGTTTTTCATAATATTTCTAAAGCACATAATAATAAATGTGCACTACTGTGAATCTAACCTACTATTACTGGCAACAAAATTTGTACTTTTAATGTTATGCCTAAAAATTTTCTATTCTTAAGAAAGTAAGAAATTTGTTGAAATCAGAAACCAAATACTAGAATTTTACAAATAACCAAATTCTAGAAATTATGGCATTTTCAATCAACTTTAGAGAAGCTTCTTCAACATCCCAATACCACACACTTTAATTTTCTTGCATAATAAATTAATCCTGCTAAACATAAAAAGCTCAACAGTAGTTCTTTCTGACATACTCCAAGAAGGTGCATTAAGCAAAATTTCATATTTAAATGCCAAGCTTTTAATACTAAAAATGTTTTCAGACTTTTCCAATAAACAATTTTAAAGAACACATCAAGCAATTAAAAATGGCACTAACAAAAAGATATGTAATAAATACAAATTTCTGTGCAGCCTAGTGATTAATGCAGTGATTCTGTAACAAGGTGGTTTTTATAACTATTTTTGTTCTGAAGATTAAACAAATGATTTATGAAAATGAGAGCTCATTGGATTAAAATACCTGACATGAGCTGTAAAATGATTAATATTTTGATGGTCAAAAGATTAAAATAGTAGAATTAATTAACAAATTGCCTAAGTAATCCTTGAACTTTGAAGATACTCGTATAAAAGTAATGAAGAATGCTAATTATTGCTTATATTATATGAATTATGTCATATAAAATTATAAGTAATGAGTATTATACGTCATTTCTAAGCCACATATCTTTCTAAAAGAAAATAAGACACAACAAAACTTAATACAGAAATTTTAGATGATTGAACTTAAGACGTTGACCATTTACCATGCATTATATGGCTGTTTCCACAATTTCTTTAAAAGTTAAAAAATAGAGGAAATAAATTTAGACTTTAAAAATATAATATAGATACTTAGAACCATGCAAATGTGCATTTGCAATTTTATTATATAGTACCACAGAAATATGTCATGCTATAAATTAGTTTAATTTACTCTAGAAAAATAAGCACATAAATTATATTAGAAATTATTATTAGTGAAAGAGGAATGAAGGAAAAAGGGAAGGCCAGCTATAGTTTAAACTATAATATCAGCATTATTATCTCTTGGAGCTAGATATTCAGCTTTTACACGAGGATTGCTTTGGAAGTTCACGAGCCAGATAACATGAGGCAGATTCTCAGGAGGTAATTATGTGAATGCCACTCATGAAGATATCTTCTATTGTGCTATGTTAAGTAAATAAAGCCAATATTATGCTGTTGCCTTTTCCCTTGCTCACTACAACATGTAAACCATAAGATGCATTATTACAGTGGATGAGAAGTATATACTGACAATACTTCAAGGACAAGGCAGTGCTAATGAATTTTGTATTAAATAATGCAAAAGAAGAATGTTGGATGATCAATTAATATACACTGAAGAAGAAATTGCCAGACAAATCATATTCAAGTCATGGAAACACACATTGTGCAGTATGAGCACAGAAATAGGCACCTATCAACATCTGTAAATGGCATAAACACTGAGAAAACAGATATATTGTTAAAAGATGTTTTTTAATATTTAAAAACGAGTTAAAACATAAGAAGCTAATATGGATCACGAAGAAAAAGCTGATATACCCATCATCTTATTCTGAACTCTCAGAAACTGATCTGCAACCTGTACTTGAGAAGCTACTGCACCTATGAAAACAAACCCATATAAAAGCCTCTAATGATTCAGATGCTGAATAGTGATCTCTGTCAATCAACTTTCAAAACAACCCTCGTATAATATAATTTTTAATGCTAAAAACCAGTCTCACAAGCATTACCTAAAAAGGATTTAATTGAATAATATGTGCAAATACAGCTTTTAAGTTCTGAGCATGCATAAAATTTTTAATTAAGTGAATATTTTTAAATTACACACCTGGACTGACATAACAGCTTCCAAGCAGGTTTGTAGACACTAAGAGAAGAGTTAAGATTAAATAAACAAACAAATAGTTATATATATTTATTACAGGTAGCTCTTGATTTGAACAATTCCATCATAATAATTTTGAAACAGAGTTAAAATATATTCTGTTACTATTTATAGGATTTCATATATTTCCTCTGAAATTACTTTTATGTTAAATAGTAATTCTTATATTAACTAAGAAAAATGAAAAGACAGTCATCTCTGCAATTATATACATTAGAACCCTGGTAAGGAGTGTTGAAGGAGGTCGAAGGTTAGGAATTTCTTAAGTGGGAAGACTTGCTAAGAAGGAAAGCTTATTCAGAGCAAATGGAGTCAACAACTTAGAAAAGAATTAAGATGATCAGATAAGTCAACTTACAAATTTTTATAACAACTTACAATAAATTCATCATGTCTATTGCTTTGGCTCTAGCAGAAACTAATTCCTTGGGGAAAGAATGTCCTTAGCAATGCATTTAATTTACTGCAATTTCATTAATTTTCAAACCTATATGATTCCATAATACACTGACTACCAATAAGTATTTGGACACCTGTGATAGAAAAGAAAAACTAACTTTATTCAAAATCAATAGTTGGTAGAGCCTCCACGAGAGATAATTACAGCGTGGACCCTCCGGGGCATACTTTCCACAAGTCTTTGTATGACAGCTAATGGCATTTTCTGACACTCGGCTTGGAGAAGACATAGAAGTTCCTTCACCGATTTTGCACGGGTAGTGCACCCCTGAATTCGGCGATGCAACTCGTCCCAGAGGATCTCAATAGGGTTCAGGTCTGGACTCTGGGCAGGCCAGTTCATTCGATGAATTCCATTGGCACCACATTAAGCCTTGGTTAACGGTGAAACATGACAACTGGCATTGTCATCCTGAAAGTAACAGTCCAACCTGTAAAACTGCCACAACGTAGGAAGCACATTGTCATCCAAAATAGTGCAGTAGGCATCGGAGTTGAGCTTACCATGAATGGGGATCAAGAGTCCCAGCCCATACCAGGAGAAACACCCCCAGACCTTAATTCCACCTCCACCGAACTTGACTGTTGGCACAATGCATTCTGGCAGGAGACGTTCTACAGGTAGACGCCAGACCCATACCCTGCCATTCGAATGGTAAAGGATGAACCTTGATTCGTCACTCCAAAGAACCCGTTTCCACTGATCTACAGTCTAATTTCGATGTGCTTTGCACAACATTAACCGAGCAGCGCGGTTGGACTTTGTGATCAAAGGCCTATGGGCAGCAGCACGACCATGAAAACCAAGCAGATGTGCTTCCTTACGGATGGTATTCATTGAAACAATACTCCCAGATGCCTGTTGAAACTCCTCGCGGATGAGGGCCATCGGTTGGGTGCGGTACTTCCGAATTTCTCTGGACAGCACTCGTCGGTCTCTATCTCCCAGTTTCGTTAGTCTGCCGCCTTGGGGAACATTCCGACAATAACCGCTCACATTACACTTCTTAATCACATAGGCCACTGTCGATTTTGGGTACTTCAGATCGCTAGATATGTCCCTTAAGGATCGGCCACATTTGTGATACCCGATAATTATACCTTTCTCGAAATCAGACAGCTCCGAACTGCGAGGCATCTTGTATGGGACTAAAGCTGATGCTGTTTCCTACACGATATATACCGGCCGAGTCCGTGACGTACCTTAGGACCGCAGATATCGTCATTTGCATAGGTGTCCAAATACCTATTGGTACTCAGTGTACACAGATGGAAAGAGATTGATTACACATTACGCTATTATGCACAAATGCTATTATGGGCTATACAATAGCAGAGGGTATTATTAGCAGTCAGTCATGTGGATTATAGGAACAGGAAGAACAATTGCCTTTGAGGAACAAAGTTCTCCATAAAAAAGACTGCTCACATTCACATTATGAAAGAGACACTAGATTATACTCATGTTACATAAAATATAGATATGTAATCATGCAGCCAGGCTATTCTTTGGAATTCCATTTTGAACTACTAATATTCAGTGCTGAGGTCAGAATCACAAGATTCTGAATTATGACACAAAATTTAATTGAGAAGAGAATGACAATGAGCTTTCAACAGTGGTGAGACTTCCCTTACTTCATCCAAACATGTGAATGAGAATATGAATGTTAGCTTGTAGAGTGACTAGGATTTTTTTTTATGCTTTAGAAGTGAAAAATGAGCAATACCTCGCTGGGACTCAGACATGGAGCTCTCGAATACGTACCGATCGCGCTACCATTACACCACAAAGGCATGCAGGAGGGAGAAAATACCTTATATACTCCCCCTTTAAAGGGCAACTGGGGATTAGGGGACCACACCACCATATCCTGGTGGTGAAGAATCATCGTCCACCATCTTTTAGTTTGGGTGCCACTGTAGAGTCATCAGGATTTTTTTATGCTGGAGAAGTGAAAAATGAGCTATGTCCTTGCTGGGACTCGGACTTGGACCCCTCGAATATATGTTGAGTGTGCTACCATTACAACATGAAGGCATGCAGAAAGCAGGAGAAAATACCTTATAAGCTAAATTATGACATCAGTAAGGAAGATCTTTTGATGTGGATGGCTAATGGAAAACTTCGGGTGGCAAAAGCTCTGTTGCACCAATGGGGTTATATCAAAGAAAGCACATGAATGCTTAAGAAATTTTTGTCTCCCAGGCATGCAAGGAGAGACTGTTTCACAATATACCATATATTGATAGCTCAGTAAACAGACTAAAGTAGACAAGACAATCAAATGAAAATTAAAAGAATTTTTTTTTTTTTTAACTTTTAGGGTGAAAGGGTGAGGGGTACTTTTAAAATGAAATTTACAATACATATTTTTAAAACTTATTAAACTAGTAAATTTTCAAAAAAATATGCACTCTTGGTACAAAATAAATTAAGATGCTTGGAAATCAAGAGTTCTTAACTAGGCAAGCTCAATAAACAAGAACTGATGCCTGGAAAAAATTTGTGTACATCTTACAGTTTTATTTTGGAATTTTAAAAATCTGATGCCTTAGCAGGAATTTCTTATTTTACAATATACTTCTTTAAAATTAATTTAACCATTCATCTTTTTAACAGTTACTTAGTTCAAAAGGCCTTCTGTCTCGCCCTCCATCTTTTGATGTTTGAGCCTACGTTCAGCCCTATAATGCAGCTTCATCTCTCACTGCAGTGAATTTGCTCTGTTGAAATTGATTAGTCATCTCCTGATTTACTATAGTAATACTGAGAACGATGTTCATGATTAATTCAAAATTACGGTTCTGAGGAGGAAATAAATAAATAAATATATATATGTAAGATAAAATTATATGAATCAGAATTATAATATAACTATAAACATTAATTCTTCCTCTCTATTCAAAAATCGTAATAACTTCTCTGCATTGCGTCATTCAAATTAATCATGCGATTTTACGTAACCGTTAATACCAGATGCCTCTTGACGACCAATCACCGAATTGCAAACAAAAACTTTTCTCTTCACGTGCTTCCATCTTGCATAACTACGCACTTCAGCTTTTGCTCTCTACTGTGCTAAGGTGTAATTTTCGCTGGCTTGCTTTCTATTTCAAAAATATCAAAAATGTAAATCTTCTGTGGAAAGGCACGACTAGAGTGCCAAGTGACTGTGGCCACAAATATCAATTTGGAAATAAAAATGGAATTAACTGCCTCGACTGTCAAGTTCTTTAGATCACCGATCTACAGTGTTCCGTCTTTTCCATTGCTTTTATTATGACATATATATATATTTATAAATGAAGGTGGAATAATCAATACTATAATTAACAAATGTAAACAAAAGAAACTAATAGCAATTTATATTTATAAATAAATTGCTAATAGTTACTTCTTTTTCTTTTTTAAATAGACAACATAATCTGAAGAATAATTTTATTTGGTCATGTAAGTAAAGCAATATTTAAAAAAAAATTTTAATTGTAAATAATAGAAGATTTAATACCATCAGAAATTAAGAAACTAACTTATAAATATCAACAAAGAACATTATTTAGGAAAAAACCGAATAAGGTCAGTGAGTTTAAAACTGGGTTTAAAAAAGTCAGACCTTATTATATACAATTAAATTACATAATTCTGTGGATAAAAACTCCCAAATACTATATTTGCTATTAGTGTGGTTATAATATTTTCCATGGATAGTTTTGTTTATATTTATGGTTTGTAATAATAATTACTTTATCATTTCCTTAAGTTTTTCTAGACAGAGCCAGGTTAATTGGAAACTGACTGTATTTAGTAAAGTTGCTTGTGAAATTTTAAACCTAATACAGTCATTTGAGAATAAGGAAGTTTTAAAATTTTTAATAATAGCCAGCCAAATGCCTATATCACATAATAGGAGAAACAATTACACCTTATTTTTAAAACTTCTTTTGTTTGCATTTATGCTATTTGAGGGCCTTAAATGAAATGCTATTATATTATATTTTAGCATTAAAACAGAAGTTACTGAGCTTCCATTGATTTACTCATGTTATGAAATTTTTCAAATTTATGTCGATTCCTACAGTGTATCAGTTTGGTCATGAACACATCTCTTGAGTAAACCAAGAGCTACCCATTGTCACTCTCATGCTTTATTGCTGGAAAAAATATTAGCTTGAAAATTCACAGATTATTTATGATAAAGCATTTCTTGTTGAAGACATGCATTTATTGCTTTACTTGTATTTACATGAACATTTAGTGTTGAAAAAACATAACTGATTTTATATGTTGGTTACTATAAATAAGAATAACTTACAATAAGAACGTTACATAATATTTAATAAAAAATAACAAAGAAAAGGATGTCAAAATATATTTATCCCGATTTGATAACACAATGAAAACGGATATAAAATTCTTAAGAAAAAGGTATTCTGCTTCTCTTAATTATGTTGTTTCAACTTTCAAATATGATTGATGCATGAAAATGGATATGCAGTTTTAAGATATTTATTTCATCACTGCAAGTTAGCAAGTTTCTAAACTGTATTAATTGCAACAGTTACTCAATGTTCTACACTTTTTTAATTATTTAAAAACTGTGTAAAAGTTACTGAATATGGTCAATTTTACTTTACCAGTAAATTTGCCTCACTGATTTTCAAATTCAAAAGCAAACTTTGAAATTATGTTTCATTTATGGCTACTAGAATTTTAAGAAGCATTTACGATCAAAATACTTAATAAAAACTGCGAAGTAGTTAACAATCAGCTTTAACTTTTTCTAAATCAAAGCAAAATAAAAAGAATGAAAAAGCCATACAAAGCTAACTAAGCAGAAAAAATTTTCATATGCATTTACAATCACTTAATATCTATGGACAGCAAACTATTTTATATCCATTTAGTAATGGCAACAAATAAGAGAACTTTATATAAATCTTATTTAATTACTTTTTAAATAACATACTTCATACATACAGAAATGTAACAATTTGTTATTTCATGCAAAGTATAAAAATGCTTTGCATTTCGCACTTCGAAGCAATTAATATGCATATTCACTGTTATCATACCTGAGTAAATTATTCTTCGAAATTTATGAAAATTATATGCCAATTAATAAGATTTATCATATCTGTTAAAGCAATTTAACATATAAAGTAAACAAAGTAAAATTCAACTTCAGATTGGCATAATTTGATTCCTGAAGATAGTCTTATATTTGATTCTCTTCAAACACATACAAATTTTCTTTAAAATCAACTCCAAATTATGACCAAATTTTGCCTATTTTAATATTCAGTTTCATGCATTTCACATTAAAGTACATGAAAAAATCTTATGAATTAAAAAAGGCTCTAAAATTGTTGCATTTACTAGTATTACACAAAGTTGATAACTATAATAAATGCGCAAGATTAGACTAAATACTTACGGGTATGCTGCCATAGTAGCAAGTTTTACATAGGCATCTTTTCGGATAACTCCACTGGCTGTAAATGGTTGAAGTGGGGGCAGTTTGTGCTTGCTGCAAAAATACATAGGCTGAAGAGCATAATCTTGAACAGCTGCTGGTAAGTCTGCTTTTGAGCCAACTATTAAAACTGGCACTTTGCTGTCACTAAAATATTTCTAATAAACACAGAATAAATGGCATATAATTATTAATTATATGGGGTTAATATATAAATATCAGCATGAATATCCTGTATATGATGTATCCCATTCAAAAAAAGGAGATTAAAATAACAAAACACTTACTAAAAATATCCGTGCTATATATTCAAATGAACGGGAATGACTTGCATCAAACATAAGACAAACTACATCGCAGAATAGTTCTGGGGGAGTAAGTGTATCATTCATGCCAAAGATGTCCACTTCATGTAACTGCATGAAAAAGACTCACTAGAATTAGTTGAATTTTACAGAAATGAATGTACACGCACAATATATACATACATATATAATAATAATAAATAAAATATATTGTATATATTTAACAACAATGAGCAAAAATTAAAATTAAATTTTGTAACGCATGCTCTTTTAGACATATAACATAGCAGAATATAGAGAGAAGAGAAATATACCAAAGTAAAACATAAAATTAGACAAAGCAACAACCTTATCAAAATAAATATAAACAAATTGAAGGATTAGCTATGGGTAATCTCCTCAGCCTTGTACTTGCTGATATTTACACGCATTATTTTGAGGTCAAATTATCTGAGAAACTATCTTTCATCTCTGGATTTACTACGTGGATAACATTTTCGCTCTTTCTGATGTTAATGAAGAAGATTTACCCCAGAGTTTATCTGGTATAAATTCTGATGATCCAGCCATGCAGTTCACTTTTGAAATGGAAACTGGAAATATCATTCCTTTCCTCGATATTCTTATGATCTGCAATGAATCTGATTTTAGCACTACTGTTTACTGTAAACCCTTTTCTCTTTGTTTGCCTCTTCATGCTATATCATACCAAGGCTAATAAAAAAATGGTTTTTGTTTATTATTATGTATCAGGTTGTCAGAAAAGTCATGCCACATTTTGGTAACAGATGACAAGTGTTGATTTGTGGAAGCACTAGAGTTATTTGCATCCATGCAATCATTATGTCATGAACAACTCAGAAGTTGAATGTCATGTTCACTGATTATCATCTTCGTTTGATTTGTTTTTAAAGATTTGACAACACAGGGAATACCAAAAGATGCATCTATGCCATATTTTATTGTTTTACTTCAGGAAAGGGGAAAATCCACTACAAGCCTGTTTTGAAAAGCTGCATACAGTTAACAGCAGTTATGCTCTACACGAATGTCAGTGCCATCACTGGTTCAAAAAATTTTGTACTCCTGATTTTGATTTCAATGACACCATTTGATGAGGAAGTCCAATTGATGTTGATGACAATCAAATAAAGGCATTAACTGAGCCAAACCATCATTGTGCAATATGAGAGATTGCAAAGATTTCAATGATGATGAGGAACCTGTTTGTGCTTAGAACTGCATACTCTTTAAAACAGCAGAAACAGTAAACTACTCAGTAGAAGTGAACAAAATGAGGCAAAAAAAAAAAAAAAAAAAAAAAAAAAAAAAAAAAAAAAAAAAAATTGTGAAATTTGAAGATTCAGCTTTCAAGATGCGATAAAGCACTCCCAGAAGTGCAAAGTAGTTGCTTATTTCTCATTCATGGTTATGCATATGGTTAAAATAGGATATTATGAGCACATTATGGCCAATATATTCTGCAGTTTTCTCAGCCTCTGCATCTAATTTAATAGTTGAGATCTATTGGAAGTTGCTTGAAGTGAAATGTTCAAGTTCTGTAATTTTCATGAAAATGTCACAGTAAAGTTAAATGAGTTGTGCAGTTTTTTAAACTTTTTTGGATCAATGGTATAATAGGGTAAATGAAATGAATAATGCTAAACCCATTAAACTCACAACAAGAAAGTTTGCAATTGAACATTGAACTAAGTATGATTATATATCAGAACAAAAAGAAAAATTTATTAGCAAGGAGAAGATAAAAGGAAGAGCTTTATATGGATTCAAACTCAGAACACATTCAGAGACTGATCTGAAATGTCAAAGTAATATTATAAATGTAGAATAATAATATAAAAATAGTATTGAGAACATAAGCAAAATATTAGTACACAGATTTTTATACCACCTTACAATCAAATATTCTTATTTTCCTTCTCTTCAAAAACTGATTAAGTAACTTAATTTTTCAAGCAATTATATTAATGGGAGGAAACATAAACCACCACAGTAAATATGATTTATTTTTATGAGAGCGATGAAGCCTTATATGATAAAATGTCGAATCAAATAATTACACTTGTCACTCAAAAACAATCTTATTTGATAAAGACTTTACTAGTAATAATAATGAAGATAATTGAAAAATTTTAAAGTAACAACAACAACAACAAAACAAACAAAACCAAAAAACCAAAAAAAAAAAAAAAAGGAAAGGGTTGGAAAGAAATGACAAGAAACTAAAATAAATTATGGGGCATTACTGAAGAAACAAATGACTTTTTAGAAAAATAATTAATAGTACAGTGAATAACGAAACAGTGAAATGCAGTAATAAATGCATATAAAACCTATACTTGATTTATAATTTTTTTACTGTGTTGACATAGAAAGTAGTTTCTTTCAATATCAACACTTTAAATAAACCGGGAAATAGAATAAAAGTGTCTTACATCAAGAAAAAACAAACACGGGCATACATAAATAGTGTGGCTTGTAAAAAATACAATGCATTAATATTATTCATGGAAAAAAATTCAGCACACATCACAGAAAACTAAAACAATTAAATACCAAAGTAAAGTTCTTGTAATCTCAGATGATAAATAACAAAGCTATTGAAATCAAAATACTTTTGCACTGCTGAATGAAAGAGTTGAGGCATTATAATAATTAAGTTATTTACATTTATGCATAATTCAACACAAATCATAAAAAATTAAGTAGATTAACGCACGAAGGCTTAAAAAACTAATTTTTCAAACAATTTTTGATTTCCCCCTTTTACTCAAAGCAATGTAATAAATGCAAGAGAATTTTTTTTTTTTTTTTTTACTTATTTTCAAGAGTTAAAAGGAATTTATATCAAACACAATTTCTTACCCCCCCCCCCCCCCCCCCCCCACCCCCCCCCCCCCCCACCCCCCCCCTCCCCCCCCCCCCCCCCCCCCCCCCCCCCCCCCCCACCCCCCCCCCCCCCCCCCCCCCCCCCCCCCCCCCCCCCCCCCCCCCCCCCCCCCCCCCCCCCCCCACCCCCCACAAAACCCCCCCCCCCCCCCCCCCCCCCCCCCCCCCCCACCCCCCCCCCCACCCCCCCCCCCATGAATTTATATCAAACACAATTTCTTATTTTACTTTATAAATGCACTGAGGTTATATGCACAAAGTTGCTGAAATATGTTCTTCAAGATATTTTAAAATTATAGTTTACTGCGAAATATTCAGCAGAGTTAAAAATTTTTGCAGACATCATTTTAAGCACATACCTTTAATGTCATGTAAATTGTGGTCTGCAGACGCCAGGAATCCAAGAACAGTTGTCAAACTGACTTATTTCTTAATTTCATTGCAGAAAGTATAATAAAGATAGCACAGAAATTAACAGTTAAAAGTTTGGCAAAACATAAATCATGTGAAAAGATGAAAAGCATACTGCATCATATAAGATGAATGTGCATATTTTAAATAAGAAAATGTTATTCTGTATTTTTTTTAAATAAACAATTTTCATACTACACAAAATTACAAAAACTGTATTACATTTACAAAACGATGCATATATAAGAATTTTCTTACCAGTAAATATTTTTCTTGTCCATAAACTTGAAGGGAACTTATAGTATACTGTGTTAATTGAGCTTTATTTATCGAAGCTTGCAGAAGCAAATTTTTGCCAATAAAACCTTGCATAAATGATGTCTGAAAAATATTTTTAATATAAATAACATACACGGAAATTAAACAATACTAAGAAGTCAAAAGAAATTAAATTATACAAGTCACTTTCTAAAACCAATTATTATGTATAACAAAAAAGTCAAACCTAAATAAACAATCAATACAGAAAGCAATATATATATATCAAAGTGAATGAAAGTTTACTTTTTAAGCAAAGGTTGCATAAAGTGCAAAACAGAAATAAATCATGGAGAAATGTCAAGTTAGACATCAAGTCAGACATTACAAGTGTTGCTAAGTATTTGGTACGCATGCTATTATTTTGTTTCACCTGCTGGCATCAAGATAGAGCATGAAAAGCAAAAAGGAGTAATTTTCTTTTAAAAATTTATGGATATATATATATTCTACATGAAAAATGTCTGAGAATATAAGCTGAAAAAACATGTACTAACAAACACATTATGCATTAAAATTTTTGAAATTCAGAAAAGAACAGCCAGTACTGAAAATTCAAGCTTGTGGTATTGATGAGCATGTATGATTGAACACCCACTTCAGGCGATCCGAAATTCAAACAAATTTAATGCAACTTTGAATTGCAGACCAAGCAAATAAACTTTTAATACATGAAGAGCTGAAAACTGAGTGAATTGAGAAGCCTGTTAGTAAATTTTCTAAAATTTAGCATTAGTTCTATTTATGACAATAATTTATCAATCTCCTAATTTATCAGAAAATGAAACTACTTTTGATTACATTCTAATTCTGTTATAAAAAATAATCTCAATGATACAATTATTTTAAATATATACTACACTAAAAATTAGTCATTACTATAAGAAAGTATATAACTAGAGAAGTTTTCATTAACAATTCAAAATTCTATTAGGGGGGCAGAGGATCAAATACTCATTATAAAGGGTGTCCCAACAAAAGCACTGGATTTTAGTCCAATAAAATACTTTTTTTTGAGAAAATAGAAAATCATTTTACTTATAGCAGGTAAATATTCCAATTTAAAAATGAAAAATAATGTTCTACATGACTTACTCTCCAGCACTGCACTCTTTTGATGAAATTCGTAATCACTTTTTCAGATAATTGCCTACTGAATATGGTTCATGTCACATTAAATTTCCTAAAAATGTTTTTGTTAGTCTGGATATTCTGGAACCTTTAATAATACTGTCAAGCATAACAATGATGTTTTCAAGAGACTGGCTGGATGGAAAAGTGTGGTGATTTAATGTCTGCTGTGAAAGATGGGTCCTCAAATTTCTTTATCAACCTGTGAACTGTTGCTGCATTAGGTGCACTTACATGTCTAAAGACCCCATGAAATTACCTAACAATTTCTGCATATCACTCTCCATTCCAATAATGATTTTCAAAATCCAAACTTTTCTCCTTTATGTAATGCTCTATGTCTGTTAAGCTGCAATGAACCTGAGAAATGAATTGATAGCGACAAAAAACCTGACGCGGCTGGTTATATCAAACTCAGCATTTTTAAATTGGAACATAAAAAAAAAAAAAAAAAAAAAAAAAAGAGAGAGAGAGAGAGAGAGAGGCTTGTGCTCTGAGTATGTTGATGGAGCTAATTAAATATAGAAGAGATTGCTTAAAATTGATGTGATTGTTGCAAGTATTACATTGCATTAAACAATTTTTTAACTGAATATTATGACCAACAAAGAGAACTGATTCATACTTTTGATTAGAAAAATATTTTGTTTTCTTATAAAAATATAAGATGAGTTATACTAACTTTTCCAGCTCCTTGAGGACCAATAACCTGGCAGTGAAAAACATTTCTACTGGTTTGCCTTTTTTGTAAGTCCAAACTCTTTTCTCTTGTGACTAAAATTTCAAACATAATTTAAAAGAAATAATTGAAATAAATCTTTTACATAAATTAATATAAATATTTTTAAATAAATCTTTATGTATTGTGTGTGTATATATATATATATGAATAAATTGAATTTAAATAAATTTAAATAGAACTTTAATTAATTCTTTGCGCCATTGCTGCAAGGAATGAAATTTAAATTTAAACAAACATGTACATACGTAAAAAAGCAAATTTAAAGTTAAAATAATTAAAAAATGTGCAAACATATAAAAGATTTAATTTTCGAACTAATCTACAATATCATTTAAATTCAGATAGCATAAGTAAATCAAGTGCCAAACCAAACCATGAAAATAAATTCACCAATTTAGCAAAGATTAATTTTAATTTGCTAAATTGGTGAATTTATTTTCATGGTTTGGTTTTGCACTTGATTTACTTATGCTACCTGAATTTAAATGATATTGTAGATTAGTTCGAAAATTAAATCTTTTATATGTTTGCACATTTTAAAATTATTTTAAATTTAAATTTGCTTTTTTACGTATATACATGTTTGTTAAAATTTAAATTTTTTTAAGTTTATATATATACACATATATATGTGTGAATTTAACAAATATTCTCTCATTTTGTATAAAGCAAATATAATTAAAATTTAATTAAGAAATTTAAATTGCAAAGAAATAAAAATAATTATTATTGCTGTGAACTAATTTACAATATCATTTAAATTCTAAGAGCATATGTAAATTAATTGCACATATCTAACCATGAAATGTATATATATTTGAATTTAACATTCTCTATTCGTATAAAGCAAATTTAAAGTTAATTGAAATTAAAATTTTAATTGCATACAAATAAATGATTAATTATTGCTGCAAACTAATTTACAAACAGTATTTAAATTCTGAAAGCATATGTAAATTAAGTGCAAGTATCTAAAACCTTGAATATTCCAAAAAAATAAAATTCCATTTAATTGAACTTTATTAAATTGAATTTTATTTTTTATTAATGAAACAAACACACACATGCACACACACACATATACATACACATACATTTAAATGCACAAATTTCCTACAAAAATATTTTCTGTATAAACTAAGCAATATGAGATATGAAACAACACAAAGTTTAAGAAAATGTTTTAAACAGCAATACTAAACTAATAATTACCGATTATAGCTGACAGCTGATTTTCATCAGAGGTAGAAATGTAACCTAAATATGCTAGGAATTCCATCAAACGGCACACATCTAAGGCAGCAATTAATCTAAAATATATACAAAATTGAAGAACTTTTCTTGAAGGAATTACATATTTATACTCTTATTAAAAATAAAATATTTTTATCGTAACTACTAATCTCTTACCAAATAAACATTTTATTCTATATAATGTTAAATGAGTATAATTATATAATATTAGACAAGTATACTTTATTTTATATATTGCTAGGCTTAATTTATATTACATAAAGGTTTTATGAACAGTAAAAAACAAAAGAGGAGGAAGGGGGAAGAAAATTTTCACATATAATATTAATGTGTTGGAGAAATTTGACCACATATTCAAAGTAAGCAGCTACCATTACATATCAGTGAGCATTTGAAGAAAAAAGATGTAGACTATAAGGAAGACTTCCAGGATATTCAGTGGCCTTTTAGGTTTCCCTTATAGCAATCTAAATGAACACCTGTAAATGGTCTTAAGTATGTAAAATTTATAGAAGCTAAAAATAATCTGCTAATAGTGTGTAGGTACTAGAAAAGACACTTCTAGAAATCCTTTAATACATGGACAGAAAATCAGATCTAATATACTTCACATATGGTAAATGAATGGGTTCCTTGTGGATATTCCAGACATGACAATTTGTCAAACACAAAAATCGGAATTTTTAAGAGATTGTTTTACTGACAAAAATAACTTTTAAAGAAATATACAGAAAAAAAGATAATTTTTTTAAATAAAAAAACCTTATACAGTCAAAAGTCGTTAATCCGGACTCGTCGGGACTTCGGCTATTCCGGATTATCGATTTTTCCGGATTATAGATCATCAGTTTAAATCTCGTAAGATGGCATGCAGAAATTCTAAAATTAAAGATATGAAACCGTAATTTATGAAATAAAGAACAATTATGATCTAAAGGGTATCAAAATTTACAAAAAAAAAAAAAAAAAAAAAAAAAAAAGAGCCTTATATTTATTTGTTTACTTTATTAAACATTTCTCTCAATGTAAGTTGTTTAAGTTGCTTCATTTTATGTGATAATACTTTCTCTTTAATTCTATAAAAAGACATAATTTCTTGTTCAGTTACAAAGTTCCGCTGTTCAAGTCCCGTTAATTGCTGTGCCGAGAATACCGACTAACTTGTCAATCGAAATTTTTTCGTTTTCACTAACCTCTCTGTCACATTCTTCATGTCTTTATCCATTTTTTGCAGCAATTCCACTTTTTGTTTGTTGGACATCAAAACATACTTTCGTTTTGTAGATCCTTTGGAAGTTCCAGCATCGGAAATTCTATTTGACATAATCGAAAGTTCAAGTTTACTTTTATAAAATTGCTCTTACAGTCTGCAAAAAATAATAAGTGGGATCCAATTCGAAGATTAAGGAACAACGCAATCATTAACATTAACTGAAATAGATAATTAGATAATTTTAGCTTACACCGTCCGTTATACATTAAACGCGCAGGCGAAAACATATTCTGCACTTGCGCACACACATATGCGCAGTAGTCAAGGTCTTATGCGCACGCATAAAATGGCTGTGCGCATGTGCCAACGCGGCGCATGCACAGAAAGTTTTTAGCTTTGAGGTCCGGATTATAGATCATTCCGGATTATGAGTGTCCAAATTAACGACTTTTGACTGTATATGTATAAAAGGGTGTGTGTGCTGGTATATATTGTTACATTAGTTTCTTCCTTTGGTACGTTTGCTACGGGGTTCATGCGGATTTAGAGTGAATAACGAAAACACCACTCGATGAAGTATCGAAACACACTTTATTTAGCCAATATTAATCAGGACAGCTCCAAAATCACGTTTACAATTTTCGGAGAACTACTACAAACACGCTGTGACAATCAGCGACACAGCCCTTCAGGCACTGTCAGGCAATAATGGGGAGAGACAGCTTCACTGCAAAGCACTTGAGTACAGCTCCCAACATCTCCTTCGGTTCGTTCTCAGAACTCCATGTACTCTCGAGACTCTCCACGCAACTGCACTTCGACGATACACAAAAGTATAGCTCTCAAACTCAGCACAGTCTAAGACAAAAACTCGACGATGCACTAATTCGGGCTACATACTAAAAGACTCTCTTGATGCAACTTGACGACCACCTCGGCGCTAGATTTTCGAGACACTCGTTCAATGATTGACTAACAGCTCGCTAGACGAGGCACACATGCACTCTGACTGCATACCAGCAGGTTTTATATAGCTTTTGGCTTGTGCTCGAGAACATTCTGGGCTAAACTAGTAAGATTTCGTTCCAGAAGGTTCTCCATCCGTCCATGGCATATCACCAATTTTGTCGCCCAATGGGCAATTTCTCACCATATGCCATTAAAGTATAAGTATGTATACATATATAAATGTGGCAACCCTGCCTTCCATTGCCATTTTATGGCAACCCTAACCCTGCTTTGCGGGGAAACTATCTTACAGTGCCTGGAAATTTCGTAACAATGCCCCTTCCCAAGGACTGCACGTCCTGGGCAGTACAACCCTTGGTTAGAAGCCAATTTTGATACAAACAAATAACATAACTAAAGAAACAAACATTTACACTGTATACAAATTTTACACAGAAACTAGGTAAGAAATCTTATGCACAAGAATCATGGATACCCCTAAGAATGAGAAGCACTAAGTACTATGGCCATCGTATGGGGCTAATCTGCCATAAGTAATGACCTTGTGTTTGGAATTGGGGGACTTAAGGGTTCATATAACGATGTAATTCAATCTGTTGAGGACTGTATAGGGACCCTCCCAATGCGACCGCAGTTTGGGAGAAACACACTTACGACAACTTGGATTATACATGGAGGTAGGAAGTAAGAAGGAGTCGCCCTAAACAAGTTTCTCCGTAACCTGCTCTGAAGCACCGCGATCCCTACGTGGTGACCAAAACATTGGGTCATTTACCATTGAGTTCTATGGGATTTGACGCGTTCGGGTGTAAATATTTTGTAATTACATCGCAAATATACATATAAACGTATATATTTTCTTTTTCTACAACACTTCAGAGTCCTAAGTATGTGAAAACAACATATTTTTAAACAACATTTCATTCTGAATTCTGAACGGAATTAAATGCTATACTTTTCACAGGACAGTTTTTCTCAGAATGGTTTAATTTGAATGAAATATTTTCACAAGTTTTCGTTAATTACATTAGAAAAAAAAATTAAGGTAATTCGGTTTTATTCGGTTAAGGTACAAAAATTAAGATCAAAGTTTATTGTATTATTAATATTAAAATTATGCATTATTTCTTTTCTATTTATAGAGCTTCTTCCTAAAATACTTTCTTAAATATGACATGATTTTTTGGCTTCTTTTAAATCGAAAAATGTAAGTCAATTTATAATTAATGCTCTATTCGGTTCATTTTAAATTAGAGAATTATTAGGAATTAAATAGTATTTGACTTTCTCTGAACGTTTCTGAAAGGGAATAAAATAAGTTTTTTTTTAAGTATTATTTAAAACTTGTAACTGAGTTATTATAAAATGTAAAGGGAATAATTCTTTTAATTATACCTTTCAGATTTTTTTTTTTTTTTTTTTTTTACCCTTCATTTCAACAATACATATTCCAAAACTCTTTATTACGTTCTTAAGTGCGCACCTCATAGCATTTGCTTTACAATACCTTTTAACAGATTGCTTTCCAATACGAACAATTCTTGCTTAAATAGTTTTATAACGTATTTGTCAACAGGATTTCAATTTATGTTTACAATTCAATATTAAGGTTATTATATATTTAGATAACATTTATAATCATTATAAATTAGATACATTTAATCATTAGATTTCTTCACAGTACTTCCACAGTTGTTTATAAGTGAATAAATTCTTCATTTCAAATACATTTATAAATAATTTAATGAATATTTAAGTATTTTGTCAAAGGCAGATACATGCTTTTTGCAAGCACATGCATAAATACCCATACATATTTCCTATTTATCATTTCCGGCATGTGCAAATCTTTAATTTCTGTGATTTTTTTAAAAATATTTTTCGTGTAAAGTAATTTACACTAATTTAGCATACACCCGAAAGTTTTACATAAAAAATATATATGAATATAATTTGAATGAAAACTATAAGTATTATTTTTAATACCCACTCAAAGGTCAGTTTTTCTTCAAAATTCCTCCACGATGGCATCTCTCTCTTTAGGCAGATAGCCCTTGCATGCATTAATCTATTTAATAAAAACTTAATCTGACCTATGTGCCTAATTACAAATATTTTAACATACATAATTTTATATTTACGTTTAGCCATCAAGTTTCAAACTTTTCAAATCTTCTAGAAAATAAATTTTGGCAGATCTCTTTTAGCAATTTTCTTAAAATCTATATTTTTGTATTGCGACAGTTTAGAATTTTATAAAACAAATTCGTAATCAAAATCGCTGTTGTTAGTTATCGAAAAATAACCAAGATGTGATTTTTGCGTAAATGTCAGTAAACTATACAAATTGCTATTATCCATTACACTATGAATGTTTCTTTCATGCGAGAGTGTCCCTTTTTCGATTTCTATGGAACTGTCGAGTGTCGAAATACTATCAGAATCTTGTCAAGCCAGCTTCTGAATGTACACAAACAACACCCCGTCTGGTGACCCAAGCTTCAAAGCAGTGCTTCACTTCTAGCATGGAATGGCCCCTCCTCCCTTTCTTACCTCCATGGGATTATACAAACACACCTTGTCGTTTTCCTGGAATTGATGTTCGATGGCTCTTGCATCATACCTCTTCTTCATCCTGTCCATTGAAATGTTGATCCGATCTCGAGCAACTGGGCTTGGAGGTACTCCTCAGGTGAGGAATGTACATCCGGGAGTTTTCCAAACCTCTCCACCATGCCATCAGACTGCAGATGTAACGAGGTCTGAGTTTTCTTGATTTTCAACAAGTCACAGAGTCCCTTGAACATAGCCAAAGTGAAGTTCCTGCTTGGCTTGTCGGAATGAATCTGGAGGGGCGGGGGTCCCAAATCTGGACACCAAATTCTGTAACAGAACTTGAGCTGTCGTGATAGCCTTTTGATTTGGAGCTGGATAAGGTTTGGGCCACTTCGTAAAATAAACCATGACAACGAGGATGTATTTGTTGCTGTCCGTGAAAAAGGTCCAAGTATGTCGAGGGCAGTTTGCTCGAAAGGCGCTCCTACATTGTTTCACTCCAACCTTCTTCGGCTATGTCCCTTTGGTCTTTTCCTGGTTGCGCAAGCATCAAAAGATCGGCACCACTTTTCAACATTGTTTCTTGCCAAACTCAAGAAGCGCTCTCGGACATTGTTTAGCGTCTTCATACAACCGAAATGCCCTTCTGTTGAGCTGCTGTGTATTTCCTTCAGAACATCAGGTATTCGGTTTTGAGGAAGCAGCAGCTGCCATATCTTATTAGTTTCAGTGTCGCTTTACCATAGTCGATATAAGACTCCATTTCGAAAGTGAAGTGACTCCCAGAGAGCCCAGTACCTTTTAGTTGTAGGACTGAAAATGGAAATGTCTTGATACTTGGGTTTTGTACTGGATGATTCCATCAGTTCTATTATCGGCCTAATGTCAGGATCCGTTAATTGGTCTTCTTTAACTTTTTCATCACTCCATGTATCTGGATCAGTTGATGTTGAAGATGTTACTTGCTGGATACTCAGATTCATTAACCCGTTTTTGAACGATGCCTGCAGTGTGCAGGACAAGGCTTCCTGGATAAAGCATCCGCATTTCCGTATGATGAGCCTTTATGATGTTTTATCTCAAAGTCATATTTCTGGAGTCTTTGAATCCATCTGGCTATTTGTCCTTCGAGATTTTTTAAATTCAGTAGCCACGTTAGAGAAGCATGGTTGGTCCATAATAAGATTTTTCTGCCATAGAGATAGTGATGGAAATGTTCTATGGCCTTTACGACAGCAAGCTTTATGGGTGCTGCAATAATTCCTTTCCGTTTGGACAAGCACATACTCCAACAGGCTATTACTCGCTCTTGACCATTAATCATTTGAAAGGACAGCTCTTACACTTTCGTTGCTTGCATCTGTGTCTAATATAAATTGTTTGTCTGTCTGGGGATATGCAAGCACGGGCGTAGATGTTAATGCCACACCTTCAACTGATTTTAAAAGACTTCTTGCACTCCTCAGTCAACACAAATTTTTGTTTACTTTCTGTTAATTTATGCAGAGGCCTCGCGATGTTGGAGAACCCTTTCACGAATCTTCTGTAATAAGTATCCCAGGAAGTTCCATAGTTGATGAATATCCACAGGACATTCCCAGTCCTTAACTGCCCGACACCTTTTCTGGATCTGTGCGAACACCTTCAGCAGAGACGACGTGCCTGAGATAGGTAACTTCACTGTAGAACAACTTGTATTTCGAACGACTCAGTTTAAGGTTAGCATCTCTCAATTTCTGGAACACCTTCCTCATATTTTCTAGATGTTCCTTGAAAGTACGGCCCACTATAATGATGTCATCTAGGTAGACCAGACAGGATTCGTAAGATAGGCCACCAAGCACTGTCTCCATCAGGCGTTCAAATGTTGCAGGGACGTTACAGAGTAAAAAGTTATAACTTTAAACTGCCAGAATCATTGACCGATAGTGAAAGCAGTTTTCTCTCTATCATCGGGATGAATTTCCACTTGCCAGTATCCACTCTTGAGGTCCAGAGTCGAAAACCATTTGTGTCCTGATAGGGTGTCTAGAATATCGTCAATCCTGGGAAGAGGGTAACTGTCTTTCTTAGTCACATTATTTAGTCTTCGGTAGTCGACATAAAATGTGGCAAACCTGCTTTCCATTGCCATTTTATGGCAACCTTAAACCTGCTTTGCGAGGAAGCTATCTTACACGCCTGGACATTTCGTAACAATATATATATATATATATATATATATATAATGAAAACCGAAAAATAGAAAAGACAAAGCAATGTCTATGGCAGATAGCTTAGAACATAGATCCATATTGACTAAAAAGAATTCTGATTGCATAGAATGCTCAAAAGTTAAATCCATATTCACTAGGAAACTTGGCAGCCAAGTAAGATTAAATATTTACTTTTATTTCAATTCACATTTGTGATCAGAATTCACTTGGCACACTAATCGTGCCTATTCAAGAACATTTACATTTTCGACATTGCTGCGATAGGAAGAGGGCATAACAAAATAGCATCATTATCCAAAATGGAAGCTCACTAAGAGAAGGTTTGGGTTTAAGTTAGAAGGGTTTCAGTTCTAAAAAAATTGACTACAATAAAATATATATCTAATTATATTTAGAGCAATTGGACAGTTGTTATGATGATATTTCTAAAATACTATAGCTACTTTCTTTATTACTACAGAACCCATATTTTAAAATTAATTAGACCCCATATTTTAAATGCCCTGTTAATGTCAGGATTATAACCAAAATAATGTTTACTTTATAATTTGCAGCTGCCATGTTTCCACAACTGCTTTTGATATGGCATCCGATATATTTCCTTGTCCTAAGGATTTTTGCCACATGGACAGAAAGTAAGACTGATGATGACAGTAAACAATAACCTGTCAATTTTTATTCTGTCACTCAGTGGATAGCAGCTATCTTGCAACATTTGTGTAAAAACAGCTGTTATTGGATCAACAAAATGAAATTTATGGTTCATAATAAAATGTCTCTAACCTACTTTTTCCAGTTTTTCAGTTGTATATGCTTGGCACCACCTGAATATATCATCAATTCTTTTAGTACAATCCTTTTTTGCCAAGAGTACAGTTGCTTCTCTATTTGAAGCCTCCCAGGAAAAAGTTCACCAGATTCTCGGCATAACCTGCTGAATATCTCTGCTGGTTTTGTTTTTCCTACATGCATAGATTTCGATTTATGACAATTTATTTGCTTATACAGTAGACAGCTTAGATGTAGAATATACACTTCTTTCATGGAACTGTTCCATTCAATAGTTCTATTTTCGTAAAGGATGAATTGCCTCTTTTATCACTTAATTGATAACAATTTCTCTGTCCAACAGTATATAAATTGCTGAGCTGTCACAAGTAGCATTTAGAAACCACTGAACCAGTTTTCAAAACACATTCTTTCCCTGCACTCGCAAATTTTCTGGCACATATGGCATTTTGTGCAACAACAATTTTCATATATTCAAATGCAAGGTAAAATGTCTTTTGTGAAAGAAAGATACAGCATCTTTTTCTCATTTCTTGGCAAATCAAACATTTTTTTGAAAGTAGAAAATACATTAACACATGGAATACTCAGAGCTCTTATCATGGTGAGAGAATTATAAGGGTTTGTTTTAGTTTATTACGGCAGCTTAAAGGAAGGGATGCCTTTCTTAGGAAAACTGGCTCCCATTCATGTTACACATGGGAAAACCACGAAAATGTCCATACAGCCAGCCATTTTCCTGGATTCATTCGAATCCAGATCAGAACTAACAGTGTTGAAAGATTTTACTGCTTGGCTGCTGATGGAGCCATGATAATTATGAAGGAGTGTGAATTACTAATATTTACATAAAAAAAAAAAGAGTATACAATGACACACAGTTTACTAAGAGATCATCTTGTCATGAACAGACTATAAATGATTGCTATTAGTACTGCTGACCATTGGGTTGCATTGCTAATTTATCAATAATCTTGGCACTGTTCACAAAACAGTGGATGTAATATATCTAAAGTATAAGTATAATATATCTAAAGCAAATTCACAATTTTTATAATGATAGATAATCCTATTTTATTTTAACATTTTCTTGCATGTATAAATAGTGAAACATCCAGATAATGAATTAAAAAAAAAAAAAAAATCCTTAGAAATGTTTACTAACGTCCATTGGGCTAAATATCCTTGCAAAGTTATCCATCCACTTTCATTTGTGGGTACCACATTTACTATTTCTGGTCCCCAAGCAATTACTGGGCAGGTACTGAATAAATCCGCGACTTCAGATGGTGATAAGCAACCATCTTTGTCCTAAATAAAGTGCAAATAAAATTAAAGAATAAAAAATAAAATAACATTAATATAAAACAACACATTTTACAAATTCATCAGTAAGTAAAAAATGAAGATATTTAAAGTACTAAATTACATACTGCATATTTAAAATAAACCTATATTTATATGAAAATTATTATTTTAAAGATTTCATATTACAATAATGCCAAATACAGTTCTTAAACTGCATGTACGAAGTCTGCCTAAAAAGTATCCAAACTTCAATTTCCGCCACACACATTAGTGATGCTAGGGTGGTGCCACCGTGCACAGCAGAAGACAACTTAATACTTCAATCTCTTCTCCAAGTTTGAATGCACCAATCGCTGCCTGTAGCCACCAAATGAGGTATTACATGCATTCATTGGAGTTCTGATTTCTCTCAAGATGACTGAATGAGTTGAGCAAAGATACTGCATCATATTTGGTCAAAAGCTTGATGATTTTCAAAACAATTCATAAGATTCAATAGGTGTTTGGAGATAATACCATCGGGGTAACTCAAAATAAGGAGTGGTATAACAAAATTCCAAAATAGCTGCACATAAGTAGAGAGTGATCAGCAGTCTGAGAAACTGATCAGAATGCAGTTTTTTTTAAGAGGGTAGAAAATCTGGTAAAGGAACATTGTTGTTTCATCAAATAAGCCAAAGAGTATAGGATCAGTAAAGATTCTGCACATGCAATTTTGCATGCTGATTTAAACATGCACAGAATAGCTGCAAATTTTGTGCCCAAACAACTGTCATTTTAAGAAAAAGCATTCTGTCTTGAGATTGCACAGGACCCGCTAGACACTACCAGCACTAATCCTGAGTTTCATAAGATAACTACATATGAGTCATGGGTGTACGAGTATGACCTGAAAACAAAATGAGAGTCATCATAATTGAAATATCTTGAGCCCTCAGAGTCAGAAAGAGTGCGACAGGTGCGAATCAAAATTACAGTGATGCTGTGTTCCCTGATATTCAATGAATTGTGCATCACAAATACGTACCAAAAAGACAAACAGTGAGCAAAAAAAATATCAACAAGTTCTCTGCCACCTCTGTGATGCAGTTCAGCACAGCACAAAAGACCAAACTTTTTCATCATGATAGCGCAATACTGGCAGTTGTTTCACATTCATCGCACTTGATCCAGACTTTCTTGGCAAAATATGTAATAGCATAGATAATCACCATTCCAAAAGAAACTTTCTAGAAATGTTTTCGGCACTTCAAGGATCAATGAGCTAAATGTATGGGGTGCACAGTACTTACTTTGAAAGGGATGTTACATAATCCTGTCATGTAAGTAATATATTTTTCCCCAACAAAAGTAAGACACTTTTTAGACAGCCCTTGTACACCATCTCGGATAATAACTGGATTAGCTGTTTCAGTTTTTCTTTTGCAAATTTAATTTCCTTCTTTGCCATGTATAATACATTTTTGTAAACTTCAAGTAATTTTAAGATAAAGCACTTGTAAAAATCAATAACCTAAGCCCAAACATATGGCCCAACACATGTACTAAAATCTTGGTAATGTAACGGCAAGTAGAAATGCAGACTAAAAGTGAATGGAATATACATTCATTGACAATTCATATCATCAACTTGATGATGAAGTATATGCCACCAAAATGTCATGCACCACTGTAGGCACTGATTCCTTTATTGTAGTATCAAGGGAAGCTGAATCAACAGTCACCTTTCTGATAATCTTGACATTATACCACATGAGCAAATACTTGATGCTGAACAGCATGACCTATTTCTTGACCCAAGGTAGATTATGCAACTGCATGATCATTAATAGAAATGCAGACAAGGTATTTTTGTCACAAGGATTTGTGAAGGGCAATCAGCCAGATCCCACGTGCTGTGTATGACCCTTTCGAACACATCAGTTTCAAATTATCATAGCTGTCTTGATCAACATGAACAGCAACGGTGCAGTACGAAAATCCTCAGTGCTAGTAAGCTACAGATTCTCCCCTAATAGAATTCTGAGATGAGCTAGCATGAGTTACTTTTTATATGAGACATGACATGACTCTCAGTATACACACACACACACACACACACACACACACACACACACACACACAAAATAAATAAATAAATAAATAAACATGATTTTGAAACAGAAAATTGTCATTTCAAACTATGTTTTTTTTATACTGGCTCAAGGAGACATTTCTCTTGCCTGTATGTGCATGTATGCCAAGAGAAGTTTTAGCTTTCACACAAATTTCAGTCTGAATTGAATGACAGCTGATTAATGAAGTTCCAAATTTTATTACCTGATCATATTTTTCAAATAAAGTAGTCAGAAAATGGTACCCTTGATGGCTTAATTCGGTTGTACAACCAGGTGGAACAACTAACCTAAAAAGTTAAAAATAATTTCAAAGAAGCTGAATTTAAAAAAAAATATTTTATCCTTTACAATAAATAAAAAAAATTTGACAATATATTTTAGAATGCTTTAGAACTGCTGTCTTGAACAAAATTTTAGGAGTAAAATTCTTCTTGCACTATGATGTAACAATCTAATAAATTATTTAAACTCAGCTCATTACTATACAAAATAATACAAAAGCAAAATACAGTTAGTGGAATATGTAATATGTAAATTATTTTGATATTTGTAACATTTCTTGCATTTTAAAATTTGGTTATTACAAGTTACTATATATTTTAACTTCTTCACACACTCTTAAAGCTTTATATTTTAATTCCTTTACACTTTCTAAGACTTTGAAGAAATAGTAGTTGATATTTCATGATTTCTTTTCTTCATTTTAGAAAAACAGCATACTTACAAAACACATACACTTACAAAATAGCATATCATACAGGAATGCTGTAGAACTTTGCTATTCAACTTCTAATTGTCTGGATTTTTTAAAGTTATTTTCACAGTGATTTAAATACACTTAAAAATTGAACAGTATATTAAATTTTTAAGTTATTAAACTAATTTAGGTGACTGTGTGATTAGTTTAGGCCAACTAATTAAGGCAAAGAAACCTATGGATAAAAGCATTCATGGATAATTTTTTTAAAGCAAATCGACTCGCATTAAAACTTAATGGAACCATGAAAAATCCCAAATAAGTCAGTTTATCGGGATTCTCAGGGTTGAATCACCATCATTCACCTCAGCCACTAGTGGGCTTGTCGACTATATGTAACATGTTTATTGGCTTACAATAAAATCCACATTGTTAAGTCAATAAGTATGTCATAGGTATTTGTTTCATTTAATTCGGAAAATATGCACTTTAGTCAATATTAATAGAAAAGTAATTACACACTAGACCATAACAAGCAATCAAGATGATATTTTCTCTAAGTAAGGAATTTCTGTTATACTGTACACAAAGTAAAATGCACTTAGTTACTTTCTACTGATCTTTTGTTATAGCTCTGCATTGTTTTTTTTTTTTTTTTTGCATGATATTTCCTATTCTAAAGGATAACAAATTAATTTTGGCTAAACTGTTAAATGTAATTTTATAAGTGTATAATCTTTGTTGAAATAAAATAAATAAAAAATTTCCTCATTAATACTTATATAAACTGAAACTTTTTTCTGAAGACCATTAGATGGCATCCTGCATCCATTGTGTTTGAACAATATAATTTCAGGATCCTGACCTTCATTTTGATCACATTCTGCATAACATCTGTGTCAGCTGTAGCGGAGAAGGAGAGAAAGCTCACACGTGATATAAATATTTGCTTTTCTGACATCCGTTCGAATCCACTTTTTATTCTTTTTTTCGTTACTATGTAGTGTTTTTTAGGGTTATTATGTGGGGTTCTCTTACACTTTGCGTTACTTCTAGCTGTTATATTTCCCATACTTTGCTTTTTATTTCAGAAAGCCTTGACTTCAGCTTATTATGGTATTAAGCAGAATTATTTATCGGAAGAAGGATATACTCGTATGGTAAACGAAGCAGTTAGTGGTGTGGATGAGAGTGATGATTCTTTTTCTAAAGAGTTAAGAGTTTTCGAGATTTTGATATGGACATTTTGTCAGAGACTGAACTCACTGAATACCTGCCTTCCACTACCTGTAAAAGATGCTGTTACTTTTTGTAAATAGGCCTTCTTGCATTTTAAAATTAATTTTAAAGTTTTTTAATGTATTTTGTCAATTAAAACTTGAATAATTTGAATAGCACTTCCGAAAGATATTTCTCAAAGCAATTTTTTATACATTTTCATGTAATATAAAGAGAAAATGTTATTAAATGCTACTTTTAACTTCAATGTTAGCTTAAGTAATAACCTAAAGTAGTACCAGAAATTATGACATTAGAATTTAAACTTTTTTTGTGAATTTTTTTTTCTAAAGTTAGGCTTAGCAAACGCAAAACCTCTATGCTGCAGGAAGATTCCTTTTGACTCCCATTTGCCTCGACGGAACATGTCTTAAAGGCGTGCCATCTCGAAAGAGTTAATAAAAATAAATGCTAAAATTTTGCTTCAGAACTGAATTTGCTGCACATAAAAAAGAAATAATACTAAAACAACAGAAAAAAAAATAATGGCAAGGGATTAAATTCATATTACATTTCAAATCCTGTAAAACAAGTTTCTTTTTCATACAGGAAAAGCAACAGAAGAAGAAATGCTTTTAAATACTAAAATAATAATAATAATAATAATCTATAAACAATTTAAAAAAAGATGATATTGGCACTACATTTATTTTAGTAATAGAAATAATTTCAAGACACTCAATTTCCAAAATTATAATAACCTTGGGCAAAGATAATCCTTGCTTAACTGCAAATTATCATCATAACCAAATTTTCTTAAAACAGCCCAAGTAGTCTCATGCCTTCCTCTTTGAATAAATAAAATGTGCAAAAAAAGGAAACCTGAAAACATGAAAAATATAATCAAATTCTACATAATCAAGTACTTGTGAAATTCAAAATCAAGCAATCAAATTTCAGCTATTAAAAAGCTGGCTCTCTAGAAAACAAATCACAGTAATAATCACTAAAAAGGTAAAGATTGATAAAATCATACATTAAACATTCCTATCCTGAGCATAAGGAAAGCTTGTTTGTACTTTTTGAAAACTCCTTCAGAGCCAAGAAAAAGTTACACAAATTTAAAATGAAAGAGAGTTTACATACATTAGATTAGAAAAGTAATAAATGAATTTAGTACTTAAAAATACTGCAGTTATTGATTGCAACCTATATCAAAATGTCAGAAATCTGTAGTAATCTCTACAGAGGACAAGAAATTTCAGTTACTTTTTATATGCTACTATCAAATATCCTCTTACATAACAGATAAAATTTAATGTTTGTACAAAAAAAAACATGACTCGATTAATTCATCAATTAATGTGTACAAAGGGAAATTACATTAAGTAAACATAGCCAGCAACAATAATTATAATTCATTCAACAATTAGCACAAATATGTGTGGGGGGATTTAATAATGAATAACTAATGAGCTCAATCAGAAGATAAAATTATCAAGTTAATAAATATCAATTTCTCAAATTATTTCACACTTATTTATTTATTTTTTTTTTCCTGAAACAAATACAGATGTTTAAAATGTGCCCAACTTTTTGAGTTTGTCATGCAGTCTAAAACAGTGTTGGAGACTGCTTTATCAAAATTTTGACTGTCTTTGAAACTCCATTTACAAAATTTTCAACATTTGTATCAAAACTGGCAAACTTCCCAAAAATTTTTACATCACATAGATCTTTTAAAATGATGAAAAAATACTAAACTTGGAGTAAAGTTTTCATATTCCTCTTGAAATCTGGTCTCCTTCAGTGATATAAAAACATTGAAAGCTTTTGCTTGAACAGTCATTGTAAAAAGATATTAATCTTAATTACAATTCTCTATCCATAACTACAGATGTTCTAATGCTATATGTGTGTTTAAATAAGCAATACTAATTTTTCTTTACTATTCTTCTGAGTACAAATTGTACATCCCAGTATCTACATAATCATATATTAGTAGGGCCATTTTTCATGTCACTCTTCCTCTAACAATTATATTAGAGGAAGAGCTAAATGACTTTTAGCTCTTTCTCTAATATAATTATTTTTTTACTCTTCTGATTACTGATCTTTAATATTCTGTTACATGTTATGGATCCATCATTATTTTTTAAAATCCAGGTTAAATGAAGAAGATTACTTGAATTTTTTTTTTAAGCTTGAGACGATTATAATATTTTATATATAAAAAAAGTTAAAAGTAGCTTAACATGTGAAGAGCCAATCACGAAATCACGAGCCAGCACGTGGTGATGTCTCAAATGGCTGTCATGCTCTGGCACAGGAAAAGCAACACCTCATTGTTTACTCCTCAGCTCAGTTGACATTACATTTTGAATATGTATATTGGTTTTGCTGCGGAGTGAAGGTTAGAAACTAGTTGTGAATGTATGTGGTTTCAAATTAAAGCATAGTTCCGTTACATGCAAAGTTTAAACATGTACACCATTTTGAAATTATATAGTTTGTAATAATATCATTGTATGTATGTACGTTGTGATAAATTCATCTGTAATACATATATTTGTTTGTATAAAAAAATAATGCATATTGTAACTTATTCTGATTAATTTTCAAATGTCATGTGCACAGCACAATGTGGCATTGGAGAAATAATTTGACCTCTAGTGCCAATCATGTACTGATATCAGTAATAAAATTTTCTGATTTTGCTTGATTTGGCTTAGCAATCAGTGTGATACACATAATCATATTTTACTGCCTCTTTTATATCATTTATTTCATTTACAAAATGCTCACATTATGATAATAACGTTAAAAATATCTTGCCTTTTAAATTTTAACTTCAAATAAATCCCACATTACATAGCCAGATAGACAAGTCCACGCTCCTGAAAGCTTTAGGCAAGAAAAAGTTTGAGTACAAAAGGTTAAATTAAGTGATGAAATACATATATATATATAAGAATATTTTAGTACCTCTTAATGTAAGTCCATCATTTTTTATACCATCATCAACATTCTTCCGGACCAGATTTTTCACATCTTCTAGCGCATGTGGCTGGAGCGGAGTATTAAAGCAGCGTCTCTAAACGAAAAATGCAATCATTGAGCCATAAAAAGCATATACTGTAATGCAGGGGTGCTTGTGCCTCCATTAAAAAAATCCTGAATATTAATGTAACACATCAGTGCAAAACAAAAAAGAGGGGGGGAGAGTTTTATATCTCCTGTTCTACTTGGAAGATTGACGAAATTCAAATTGCACTTTTCATGTCTCAAAAACGCAACTTAAGGTATATATTGGATTTATAAATAGCATTAATCTAACATAGGTATTTTGACACAAAATCGTACTTTTTCTGAAATAAAATACCAATTTTTTCCATATTTCGATTCTACGACTCAAATTATGCCTAGATATTAAATTTTGTAATTTTTAGTGAGAAATTTATGGAGAAATTAAAAAATTTATTTTGGCGCATTTCTTAATTTATAGCAACCCATTTTCCTTTCCTTTTTTAGGGGGGGGGGGTTACATGAGCAGAAAAAAAATTCATCGTTCATACTTTCAAATAATTTTAAAAAAGTGCATAAACCATATTTGGCATTATTATCGCTTATAAAACACATGCCAAATTTCAAATGTGCCAATATGTTAATTCACGTATATCTTAGGAAATTTTGAATAAAAACTCTAATTTTTTGCAGGTATGCTTAGAAAAAATACATCTACTTTAAGATGATGGTAAAAATTTTAGGTTATAACTCAAAATTTTTTTGAAAAATTTATAAAAATTATTTAAAAATACAAATTTTAAAAAAATCATAAAAAATGAGTGAATTTTTTATGGAATCTCCTCCCCCCTGAAATAAAAAAGACCCCTAATCTGATGGGAAAAAAATGTACTTCTTCCTCGTGCCATTTCATTCAAAGTTAGTCATGTAGTAGGAGGTTTTTTTTTTTTTTTTTTTTTTTTCTAAATTTAAAATTTTTTTTCACTAATTTGTATATATTGCTTAATATTTTCTTCAGTATTTTCCTTTTATCATCTTTAGGCAAGCAAATTTTTAGCTTTATAAAGCTGTTTCCTGATTTAAAAAATTTTTTTAAAATAAGTTTTCCATTTTCTTTACATTTCTTTCTGAGATCAAAGCAACGTTGGGAAGCACTATGATGTCTAGATTGACTTAATTTTTTTTTGGGGGGGGGAGGAGAGTGTTATATTTGGACATCATACTGCTTTCAGAAACATTGTTTTCATTTTCCATGATATTAGAACACTGGAAACTGAGTTGATTTTGTACATTCCTTTGAAAAAAATCAAATTCAAACTATTCTAATGTTTTTAAGCTTAATAGCTCCAGTTGTTTTCGGCTTAGACAATGTTTTCTCCACTTGCTTTAAGTTTTTAAGTTGCATAAAATTTACTACAATTGGTTTTTCTATTTAAATTTTTTTTACATGTATTTGTTATATTTGGAAAAAATGGAAATTATAAAGTACTAAAATTAAACAACGTATTTTTATTGATCGTTGTTACTGCAGGTAATTTTAAATTTCATTTTGAATGACTAAATCAGTAATTTAACTAAATTTTAAATTAATTTTATTTTTTCTTCTATATAAATATGCAAGTTATAAAATATGAAAGAAAACTACTACATTTAACAATAATTCATTCAATTCCTCATTTTAATTTGGTCAAAAACTAATGAGCTGTCCTAAAAATACTATTTACAATATCTCAAAATTAATCTGCATCATGCCATCTTATGTAAGCAGAGCAATGCAGATATTTTTCTCTCCAGTCACAATAAAGAAACTTTTGACTATATATCCTATGCTCCTAAATGTGCACTTTCCTTTTCCTACTTTGCCTTGCTGCTGTTAACATACATCAATTGCTGTTCTGCTTCATATGTTGTCTAAAAATATGATAAGTTATACTAAATTGTGGGGTGCATATCATACCCATAATGGTGTATGATTCAGAATATGTATCTCAAGAAGATCAAGCAACAAACATTGTCTTGTTTTCAGCTACGTCTGTCTATAAATGACATCTCAGGAGCTATCTTCTAATCATCCCAGATATTTACAGAATTTACATATATGTACAAGGTGTGACACACACACACACACACACACACCACACACAAAAAAAAAAAAAAAAAAAAAAAAAAAGAAGAAGAAGAAGAAGACTGGTCCAATAAATCATTGTACTTACAGAATTCTCCCTGACATTATCACTTTAAAAGTAGTTCCCTTCAGCATACACACACTTCTGCCATTGCTGGTAACAGTTCTGGAACAAGGTTTTTTTGGAAGGCCCTTCAGAAGATTCTCCGTTTTGCTCTTCAGCTGAGGTAAAATGGGTTCCCTTTAAGTATTAACTTTAGGAAATAAATAAAAAACAAAAGTCACATGGAGCTAAAACAGGTGAATAAGGAGGATGCCCCATCACAGTAATGTTTTTGCTGGTCAGAAACTGCTTGACGGATAGGGCCGCGTGAGCATGTGCATTGTCCTGGTGCAACAGCAAGCCATCAGTCCCCAACTATGGCCTTTTTTTTTTCCCTTAATATTTTCATGAAGTATTTTTAGTACTTCAATGTAGTAGCGCTGATTAACAGTCTGACCACTGGGGACCCATTCAATCATGATGAATGTGCTAGGCGCTCAGCCCATTCATCATGATTGAATGGGTTCCACACAGTCCCTTTCCCCTAAAAAATCACTTATGCCATTCAAACACATGTGCATGAGACAAAGTTTCATCTCCATAAGCCTCAATTAACAAATGAAATGTTTCCTTCGTGGATGATTTCTTAAGTTTCACAAGAAACTTGATGTTGATTCGCTGTTCGGTTTTTACATTAGACATTTTTCGGCAGAATGCAGTTGCACGTGTTCACTCAATGACACAGTACTCTCCACTGGCATGGTCGGTTAAGTCGTAACTGGCTGCATGGATAGAGGAGATGTGTGACACGACGTCACCAAAACAGCAGATGCCAACTTCATTCTGTTTTCAAACTGCACACTTTGTCTTTTTTTTTTTTTTTTTCTTTGTGTCACACCTTGTATATAAACACACACACATATATATATTAACACAGTAGTAAAAAAAAGTGCCACAAAGAAAATATATTAAAAGGCATTAAACTCACTTGAAACTGATTTAATTCATAGTCACTTAAGACTTCATCATTATCATAATCACAAATCTGAAAATAAGACATCTTGTTACATAATTTATAAAAAAGATGGCAGAACTTAAAAAATAAAAAAAGATATATTTAAAAGACATACTTTAAAAATTCTAGTTAGAGCCTTTTTACACTTTTCTGTTAACTGCAAAACAAAACATTATTCTCAAAAGCTGACAAAAAATCAAGGCCAACGCTTTAGTAAAATGAATTATAATATTTTCATATATTTACTTACATCTCTAGTTTCAGTCATATATAGAGGTGTAGTAGGATGAAGCACAGCTTTCTGAGCATAATAAAACAATTCTGAAATATTTTTCAAGGTTTTTGCTGAACACTATGAAAAATAAAAGGTTTTTATTAATTAATTTCACCACAATAACTTTAAAATGAAATCAGAAATACAAGAATTAATATATAATAATATGCAACAACTATACTGAGTATAATTATGATTATAAAATCATAATTATATTCAATACACTTGCATTGAATATTTCTATCACTTTTCACAATACTGGCTATTAAAAGTGTTTGCTAACAATCAGTTAGAGCAATTTTATTAAGCTACTGAACCAAAATCACTTCACCCTCTATTGTGCATTTGAGCTGTACATGTTTACATTATTGCCAAACAAAATTTTTAAAATGGTTTTAAGAACTATAATTGGTAGATATAATTTTCATTAAAAATTGATAACTATTACTTATTCAATTTCTTAGTTTTTTTTAATTTTATTTCCATTGATTAAAAAATACATAAATAAATAACTGTGTGATTTTCAGGGATTTTTTCAGGGATTTAAATACAAGTTTTGTAATGCTTTTAAATAGCAACAAATTATGTTACATACAACATATAAAATAGCTCTTTAGTTTTCTGACAAATATAATGTGGACAAGGTGCTATTGCAAATTCAGGGATTTAAATATAAGTTTTTTAATGCTTTTAAATAGCAACAAATTATGTTACATACAACATACAAAATAGCTCTTTAGTTTTCTGATAAATATAATGTGGACAAGGTGCTATTGCAAAAATTATTTATTTGACTAAGAAATAAACCTGAAATTTCAGAACCAACAGAAATACTATGACAACTATGCTATTGCAGCCACTGATAATTTTTCTCTTACTTTATTCTTGATAGCAACAGAATATATATTCAAACACATGTGAAGCAAGATTTACTTAAAATACTTAATTTACTTCCCAAAAGAACTGCTTCAGCAAAAAAATTCTTTCCTCGAAAAACAGGAAATCTTTATTAATCCACATGATATAAAACCTTTCAGTTTGCATACTAGCAGCTGCAGATGTTTTGCTTCGGCCATCTTGTGCACTTAGCTGCATATCTTGGCAACAAATCACATGTTACTGAGTTTCAATCTAAGCATTAGTTATCAAGTAACTACCAACTGAGTGAGGTTGTGTATAAGCCCTTTCATGGATTAATGAAAAAAACAAAAATGATGGAGTACGAGAAACAATGTATCTGTGTGAAATTTAGCAAAAAACTGAGGTAAACTCTCAGAATTCCAAATGCTTATCCAAGCATACAGTACAACTGTACAAGCCAAATGTAGTGCTATGCTTGATTTCATTGTTTTAAGGAGGGCAGAAATTCCATTGCTGAAGATACAAGGACAGCAGAACTTTCCATATCAACAGATGACAAACATGATCGAAGTGTGTGCATTACAATTTGTCAAAATCGCCATTAACTGTCAATGAAGTTGCTTGCAACAACTAAGTCAGGATCATGCCATCAACTGCTGATTGAAAAACTTACAATGTATCATGTCAGTACAAAATCTGTGGCACCTTTGCTGACATATGACCAGAAGCAGAATCGAGTTGAAATCTATCAAGAACTGCTTTTGCAAATGCAGATGACAGCTTAATTGCGAACATTCTAACTGGAGATGAGACATTAGTGTACAGATACAATGTGGTCTTCTCAATTGGTGGGAAATGAGTCTCCTTCACCAAAGAAAGAGCAGATGAGTAGCTCACTCATCAAGGTAAAGATGAATATATTTTCTGATTAGAAAAGTATTGTGCACTATGAATTTGTATTACATGTTCAGATAATAAACAAATTCTAGAGAGAATTCTAACATGATTGAGAGATGTATCAAGGAAGAGGACCTGAACTGTGGAAATCAGTTGAGAATATAACATCATGACAATGTTCTAATTTATGCACTGCCTCCTTGTTACTAATTACTTTACAAAACATCCCCCTTCCATTGCACCCCACTGACCCTATTCTTTAGACTTCGGCCCAGGAGACTTTTTCTTTAAATACCTCTATGCTGCACAGAACACTTCACACAAATAACCATGCCTCCTCTAGGATTTGAACCTGGCCTAATAACACTGCAGCCAACACTGCTAACTACTTAGCCTTTTGCTTGCACTTTAAGAGACCATATGTAATGTCTCTTTTTCTAATAAATCTCAGTCTTCCCGTTTAGGAAACATTAGACAGCTTCACGTTTATCACATACTGCTGCTCTTCATGTGAATTTCTCTCAAATCACAATTTTCAACAAACAATGTTTTGCAACAATCTATACACAAACTGACATAATTTTGTATATGCATGTTCAAATGTAAGAGCGTATTTTATGAAAATTCCTTTTAAAAGGGTTGCCACATAAAGAGGAGAATGAAATTCCCTGACTTTTCCAGGTTTTCCAGGTGTGTTTTGAGAAAATTCCAGTCTATCCGCATAGTGCGTGTTGGTTGCGCTGAGAGGTAAATTAATTATGGTACCACTTGAAAACACAAAAATTTGCCAATTGCATGCGACTTATTATATATATAATCCTGAAAGCATTATTATTATAGCTATAATAGGAGTTGTTTTCTCCACTGAAGATTGAATTTAGAATCTGCCCAATCTGGATTAAAAAATGAGTTTTTTTTTTTTTTTTTTGGCAGACATTTTGCAGCTAAACGAAAGAAAATATCTATTTAATGATATTTTACAATAAATTCAGGTATTTTAAATTTATTTAGCAGCATACATAAACAAAAATATGTGCATTAAATTTCATGATAGTACGTCATCATACTGCTAGATTTAGTTTCAGAATTATGCCAGAGAAATTTGTCTGAAATTTGAAAAACGTTATTAACTAATACTAAATAAATTTAGAGGAAAGAAGAACATTAAATGATATAAATAACATTACAATGAAGTTAATTACTTAAAAATTGAATTACAATAATCAATGCTATTTTGGCGAATATTAAACGTTAGCCTAGATGACTGATTACTATTTTTTTTTATTTTACTGCAAAATGGAAAATAAGGCATTTATCAAAATTTAAAAAAAAAAAAAAAAAAAATTGAAAAGATTTTGCGGTAAAATCCTAGTTTTCGCTACGGCCTTTGTACAATTTTGAAAACTGCCACGACACCAAAATGATCGGTTTACTAACCAGCACATTCTTAAACAGTGACTAAGAGACAGAAAGAGGTAACTGTTGTTACTGCTCATCATAATTTCACCAAATCCCAAGTGTACCATACATGGAGGTTAGAATAAAAAAAAATATGTATTTTTAAGATAAAAAAAAAAAAACTCTGCAACAGGAATGGCTTCGTCCCAACGTAGAGGGAAACAGCTGCGTATGTGAGAAATATCTGTCGCCGAAGCTCGTGAAGTTCGATGGTAAAGTTTATGAAGAGTACATAAAACGAATATCGCTTTAAATTTTCTTAAACTTTAAAGTAAAAGAAAATATTTTTTGTGCGAGTAAATTAATTTATAGATTAGCTATTTTGAGCAAAAAAAGTACAAAAATCCAAGTATAAATTATCGCAAAAGTCAAAGAACGTTTCTTCTTAACATATTCTCTACAATTTTCTGTACACATCATGAAGGGGGAAATTCTCGCCGTCAGGTTCCACCGCAAGTTTTTCCCTCCACTTTCTAGCAGCACTATAGCAAACTGATTTACATTACATCTATGGAATCTTCCTTTCTTTACACAGACATTCTTACATTAGAACAGAGTACATGGGGGCTATTCTAGCTTTCATGGTACCGTATATTAGGATTAAACCAATTTTGTTGTATACGAGAATGGGAAGGTATTTTCTTTAGTTCAACATAACCTGCACATGCAAGTCTTAGGATTCTTGAGGTTACTGGAAACCAAACTTGCTTTGCCTTTCTAAAAGACAATCTGATTGGAGCTGCGAAAATTGGCTCTATGGCAGGTGCCCGAATGACGCTCATCTGATACATAATTCGTCAACAAAGTCATCGCTTTGTTGACGAATTTTTGTTGTTGTTGACGAAAATTTGCATAAATTCCTATGTAAAATATTTTACTTTGCACAACTACTGCTATTATATAGGATGTCACATGTCAAATTTTGCAATTTCTGTTTAAATTTTAAACTAATATATATGGTATATCTTTTCTTATTCACAAAGCTATATACTTGATATTTATTAAAACACTTAAAGTTAAAATACACTTTTTGACTACTTACTTCAACACAAGATTCAATTTCTGCATATTCATTCATTATTGGAAGAATTATCTGTAAAAAATATTAAATTTAAGTCACATTTTTGAAAATATTACATTATCTGGCATGCTTAATGTTATCTGGAATCACTTCTAAGAAAATGAGGTGAACTGAATTGAAAACTGTTATGAAGCTTGTAGGATGCAAATAAAAAAGTTTAAAATGAGTATAACCTACTGCTAATAATTGTTATTATATTTTCATTAAATATTTGGGTGCATTCTGAATACATCCGCCCCCCTGGAAAGTTATCAACCACTGATGACTAAGTTTTCGACAAGCAAAGATGTTAAAAACAACAACCTTAATCAAAACCTGCAGCAAAAAGACTTAACTCACCCCAACTACACTGGTTATCATAAATTAAGGAAAAATCACAAAAATCACAATTAATGAAAAAGTTACATGAAGAATTTTATGAAACTTACACACAATATACAACACATAGTAAGGTATTAAATAACATAAAAAGAAATTACCAGACAATTATGGTAGTACAGAAATTAGCACATCTATAAAATGAATAAATCGAAGATGTCAGTTTGCTATAGTAAAAGTACCTTCAATATGGAATATAATCACCTCTAGAAGCAATACAGCACATTCAGCAATGTGTGATGCTTTCAATTATGCGGGCTATCAGTTCCATAGGAAGTGAGAGCCATTGCTCTTGCAAAGCAGTTGCAAGCGGGGCAAGGGTCTAAGGAGGTGCAGACTGAGAGCAAGCTAGACGTCTCTCCCTAAATCATCCCAAACGTTGCTCGATAGGATTCAAAGTCCGATGGATCGAGCTGGCCACTCCCTGCTCATAATTGCTTCCTGTTGAAGATAATCATCTATGATGCGAGCCCAGTGTGGTCTTCAGTTATGTGTCCTGTAACAGGAAAGCATCCCCTATCGCCCTGACATATGGGTGCAACATAAGCATCAAGGATGTCATCTCTATAAACCGGAGCATTCACTGTTTCCCTTGGACATGGAAACATGGAGGACTGTGCATCCACCCAAAGAGATGCCACCACCAAACACAGACAGGGTTCATAGCCACATTTTAGTTAAAAAAAATAAGCACTTTTCAAGCACATTTTAAGAAAAAAAATAAGCACCTGTCTAATTACATTCATACACAACTGCATAACCTTAAAATTAGAATTGTAATTTAAAATGTGAGAAATGAAGTATTTATTAAGAGAGAATAAGCATTACCTCAACCATGGAAAATAATTATTTTTTTTTTCCCTTTAATTTTAAATAACAGTTCAATTTACAGAACTAGTTTACAATGAGAGAAAAAAAAAAAAAAACTTTGAAGAACTAAACTATATTACAAGATTTAATGATGAAATTTCAGTTCAAAATAGAGAAAATAAATAATAATAAGGCATATTTATTGTATTCGTTTGGAACCTAATAATAAATACAATTTATTTTTCCACTCATATTGATATTTAAATAATTTAAATCTAAATTCTAAACATTTTCTAAATTTTCATTGTATATCAGTTTTCTCTTAACAGAAATTGCAAGCAAAGTAATTTAAGTAAAAAAGGGGAACATTTCTGAAATCAAAAGACAGAAATTTGCTTCATGCAGCCATTTTTAACAGTAAAAGTTTAACTAACCCGCATACTTGGAATTGGCGAATATTCCAAGTATATTCACCAATACTTGGGGGGGGGGCTGTAGCAGCCCTTTAGATTTTTCCGCTAATAAATGCTTTTGGCATTTCAATATGTGCATCATATAAAAATAAACCAATGGAACTAAAAAATATTCTGCTTAGCAAGCACAGTAAAACTCTTTCAGTTAGTAAGTAAGTGTTCATAAACAAATCTCGGACTGAACATCAAAATTAATTATCTCTGCAAAATATTGCAAACGTTATTGCGCAATATGTGCGCCGTAATTCTTCCCTACGTGATATTATGCAATCGGAATCAACAACTGCAGGTAATCAGAGAATAAAGAACTAAATAACTGGGGTGTTTTTCATTTTAATTTTCAACAGACGGTGTTAAATTTCCGGAATAGAATCATTCTTCGCTTGGGTTGGTAGACAGCAGAACTTTTAGTCCTATTCAATCCAGATTGGAAAGTAACCCAAAAAAAAAAAAAAAAGTCCATTGCTTGTTTTGCAGCGAACTGTAAAAGTTTCAATATTCAAGATTTTGCGAAGAAAGGGGAGACCTCCCAACCTTTGTACTGTATAATATATTGGCCAAAAAAATGAAATTATTTTGACTATTCGATTACTTTCCCTTTATTTAAGCCATTCCGAATATTATTCCTTAGAAAGCTAATCCGTGTTAAAACACAACCATTTTTGGAAGTTTACTATACTTCAGCAGTTACTGCAACTATGTTATTATAAACATTCATACATATGCTCATAATATAAGCATAACGATCATAATAAACACGAATATGAACTGACCAAGCAGAACGAGAATGCAAATTATTAAGATCTTGATAGAAATTCAAACGTGTGTAGTATTTGGGTGGGAGGAAAAGAATGCCGAACGAAGCGGAATTTTCTACTGCTTTCGCAATTCTTTGACCAATGGAATGACGGGCACCTGTCTGTACTCTTCGTGCACACCAAAGGTTATGTTAATGCAGAGAAAGGGGCAAAAGCTATTTCCGGGAGTATGAATCACCATCTGACATTCCATATTAGGAAGAAAAGTTGTTTATTTAGTTTCGGCTTTGGTACGGGGAAAAATAGCGCGTTCATTAAAAAAAAAAAAAAAAAAAAAAAAACCACTAAAAGCAAAAAAATAAGCACTAAAAACAAAAAAATAAGAACTTTAAAGAAAAAGTAAGCACCTATAAGAGCCTTTATATTTTATTTTCAAATATAAGGACTTATAAGCACTTATAAGGACCGCTACGAACCCTGACAGACGCTGCCTCTTCCGTATGCATCTCTTTCACGGATGTTTGACGGATGATAATGGGTTCCAGGTTCTCTCCATATCAAATAACGCCTATTATCGCTTTATAGACTAAACCTGGACTCGTCCGTAAAGAGAATAGCCCTCCATTGCTCATGCGTCCAGTGGACATGTTGTCGTGTCCACTGCAAACGGTCCCTTCTGTGGCGTGACTTAAGCGGCACGCAAATGGTTGTTCGCCTCGCATACAGATCACCTTCGTGAAGCCTTCTACGCACAGTTGACACTGACACCAACCTCCCGGTGGCTGCAGCAAGGAGGATCTAAGAAGAGTCGGAGTAGCAGTTCTATTCCTGAGTGCACATAATGTCAAATATCGGTCATCGGCACTCATCGTAGCAGTTGGCCGTCCTTGGCTGAACCTCCTAGATGCCGAATCCGTGGTTTGAAATTGCCTCCAAAGTCTATGAACCACAGGACTGACATTTAGCCGTCTGGCCACTTCTGTTTGACTTTGTCCTGCCTCTAGTCTCCCAATGGCTCTCCATCGCAGTTCTGCAGGCAAATGATGCCTGGAGGTCATTGTTACGAATTGGCTACCTCAAATTTCTGATGTCACTGTCACAGTGAAATATGCGAGCTTGCTCTCAAACATGGACTTTTATGCTCCTCGCAGATGATGTATTCCGAAAGCAGCGCCACTAATTTGCATATCACAGTTTTACTCAGCTACTCTTACTTGGTAACATATTCAAATTTTACACAGTTTGGCTTATTTTTGTGGGAGTTATCACTATTTTTGTGATTTTTCCTTAATTTATGATAACCAGTGTATCATTCATGTACACAGTGATCTGCTTTAAAAAAAAAAAAAAAAAAAAAAAAAAAAAAAAAAAAAATCTGAGAAGTTCACAATTTTTGATCCCCTACAATTAAATCATTTAAGAAATACAGTTTCATAAAATGCATTTTTTAAAAAAAAATTCCTCCCCTTTTTTTGTGTGTTGAGAATATTCATGATAATTAAGACACAATAACACGCCGAATAAACACTAATTCAGAAGTCAAACAACAAAAATCAGCGTCAATTTACAAAATTTTCTAAAATTTTCACAGGACTAGCTTCGATGGTTTTACCGAACCATCATCTTCAGCTGCAAAACTGCAAATGAATTTGCGGTTTTGCAGCTGAAAATGATGGTTCGGTAAAACCATCGAAGCTAGTCCTGTGAAAATTTTGTAAATTGACGCTGATTTTTGTTGTTTGACTTCTGAATTAATATTCATGATGTTGAGAATATTCATAAGTTGTGAATAATTTCATAATTTGCCAACAGATGGCAACACCTGTCACAGTAATTTTGTTCCTGTGATTGTGCCTTGGAATATTCTCTACTAAAAGGAACTTTTTTTATTCCTATGATGTATAAAAATTCAAAGTAGGCCATCATTTGAACTCAGGTAACAACGCAGTCTCTTTCTCTTGAGCATTTTGGCTTTTAGTAAACTTATATATTTATTCGTACATTCAAAAATTTAAATTATCAAGCATATTTATATTATCAAGCATATTTATATGAAATTAATTAAAACATTATCAAGCATATTTATATGAAAACTGTCTAAACAAGTTTCTTTTTTAGTCGTGAATAAGACGACAGCACTGTAGCTTCTTTTCATATGCTAAAAATAGATTTTGTTAATGAAAGGTCCAAAGATTACATTTAGTGCTATTTTAATTAAGAATAACTGATTTGTTATTCCTCATAAACCCAGATGCGGCGACAGAATTTATGGAAGACAAAATTTTTGGAATTTGGGGAAGCACTGAGCAGCAAAATTAAGGGATGAAAAGTTCTTTATAATTTAGAAAAAGCACTGGGATCCAAAGTTTAGGCGCAGCGAAAATTTAGAACTTAGGAAGGCGATTTGCAGCAGAAATTAGAACCCACAGAGACTGCACCGGGCCGTATCTAGCGTCGGCCCTAGATAAAACCTGAAGTATATGTGGGGGTTTATTCTGGACTCAGATTAGTTTTAAGCATGTGCAAGAAATAAATGTAGGTATAGTAAATAACTAAACTAATACAATTCAGACTTAATTCAGTATGCAATAGGAGCAAGACAAAATTCAGTGGAACAACTTGGCTTTCGTCACCAATCTTGTGATACACAGCTAATAATGTTTAACGGATGCTATTAAACTAGGCTAAAATTATCTTTACTGACTCTAAAGTATTTCAGTTAATACAGCAGACTGTGCTGCTCCTTAATTTTCTAATTTGATCCAGCTTATTATTTTCATAGACTGTTATTATTCGAGCAATTTTATAAAAATTAAGCTTGAACTTTCGATTATGTCGAAAAGAGTTTCCAATTCTGGAGCTGCCAAAGGATCTACAAAGCAAAAGCATGTTTCGATGTCCATTAAAAAAAAAAGTGGAATTGCTGCAAAAAATGGATAAAGGCATATCCGTCTTAAAATTATGTGAGGAGTATGGCATTGAAAAGTCAACTGAATATGACATAAGAAAAAGATAAAAGAACTTTTTGAATTTTTTGTGCATTCCCACACCCCATTTGCAATGAACAACAGAAAAGTGTTTGTTATGTTTAAAGTGACAAAGTGATGATTTAATGCATCAGAAAGCTTCACAGCGAGGGCATGCCATTGACGGGTCCAGTGCTAATGGCTCAAGCCAAAATATTTCATGTCGAAATGAACTTAAACACTGATTGCACATATTCGACAGTATGGTTAACCAAATTTAAAACTCGCCATGGTATAAGACAATTAAAAATTTAAGGTGAAAAAGCTTCAGTTGATACTGAAGCTGCTGAACAATTTGCAGATGAATTCATTGAATTCATTACTAGTGAATAATTATCTCCAGAACAAATTTACAATGCTGATGAAACTGGTCGTTTCTGGCAATATGTACCGTGAAATACCTTGGCTACCTCTACGGAGAAAAGGTTCCAACTGGCGTCAAAGATTCAAAAGCAAGACTAACAATTTTAGCGTATGCAAATTCTGCAGGAACGCACAAGTGCAAACTTTTCGTAATCAGAAAACATGCACGACCTCGAGCATTTAAAGGAGTAATGATTTTCCCCTATATATATTGTGCAAATAAAAGAGCATGAGTGACAAAAGTGTTAATGAATGATGGTTTGACAATAACTTTATACTCAAGGCTCGGCAACGTTTGAATTCGGTTGGTTTACCTGATGACTCAAAAATAGCCCTGATTGTAGACAACTGTTCAGCTCATACTTCAATTAAAGTTTTAGTGAAAGATAATGTATTCATATTATTCTGCCCTCCACACTGTACGTCTGTCATTCAGCCTATATATATCAGAATAGTACCCGAGCTGAAATGCAAATATAAAGTAGCATTTTTAAAATCTATGTTAAATTTCTTGAACAATGGCAAGACTATTCAAGAATACTTGAAATATTTTAGCATAAAATCTGCTGTGGAGAGCATTGCAAGATCGTGGGAGGATGTGTCTCCAGATACTTTAAAAAATGCTTGGCATAATTTATGGCCAGCAACCATATTTCATGGTGAGGATGATGAAGATGATAGCCATGAATTTGAAGGTTTTCGGATATAACAAACTAAAGGTGACATTTTCCAGTTATTAATGGAGTTTTGTAAAGAAACATGTGGAGAAGTGGATAATAAATGAAGATCATATATAAATAGAAGTTTTTCATTGCAATGACAATGCCCAATTATCAATCAATCAATGGACGGCGAAATCTGTAGTATGGTTCTAGATCCAAGAAAATACCGCTACCTGATAGTGAAAACAGTGACAAGAGAGGTTATTGAAAATGAACGAAAAATTTCGATTGACAAGTTAAGTCGGTATTCTCGACACAACAATTACAGGACTTGAACAAGTGGAACTTTGTAACTGAACAAGAAATTATTTCCTGTTTATAGAATTAAAGAGAAATTATTAGCACAAAAAACAAAGCAACTTAAACAACTTACATTGAAAGAAATATTTCATAAAGTAAAGCAATAAATATTAAGCTTTTTTTTTTTTTTTTTTTTTTTTTTTTTTTGTAAAATTTGATACCTTTTAGATCATAATTGCTCTTTATTTCATAAATTACGGTTTAATATTTTTAATTGTATAATTTCTGCATGCCATCTTACCAGATTTAAGTTCATGATCCGTAAACCGGAAAAATCCCAAATCCGGAATCGAAGTCCCATCGAGTTCGGATTTTGGACTTTGTACTGTAATAACGAAATTACAATAAAGAGTGAAGGGGCTATCGCAAATTAAAGTTAGAATTTTGATTTGCATGGCTTTTTAATTCTTACATATAGCTTCCAAACAAAGGTGCTGGATTTAGTATGCCCCCAAATACTTTGTTTCTAGGAAATGGGAAACATTTTTATACACTTACAACATATATGTTCCGATTTAAGAACACTGAGTTTGATTTGATATGACAATACTGACATTTTATCACAGTTCATTTCGCAGCTCTTTCTCATCTTAGTTGGCATGTAGCATTACACAAAAGAACAGCAAATTTGATTGTGAAAACTAACTTCAATATTAGCAAAAGTTATGCACAGACTGTTAGGCATCTTTTTGAAATCTCTAGGCAAGAAAGTGCATGTAATTAAACTACAGTTCACAGGCTCATAAAGAAATTTTAGGATATGGATTTGACAGCAGACAATATATCACCATGCTCTCTATCCAACCAATCTGTTAAAAACTTCACTTTTGTGCATGACAGTATTAGTGCAAATTCCAGAATATTTAAAGAGACACAATAAAAGAGAAAAGTAAACATATCATTATCACTTCGATGGGCAGATAAGTAAAATGTGATTATGAATTTCATCAAGTGAATGTGGTGCTAAAGAGTAAATCATGGAGGACATGTATTATTATTACATTGCAACATTATTTTTCAGTCTTAAATCAGAACGTCACCTGTTGTAAGCATATAAAAATATTTTCATTTTCTAAAAATTAAGTACTTTAATGGACACATTAACTCCAGTGCTTTTGTTGGGACAACCTATATTCATATAATTTAACATGAAAGAAAGTCTGGTACAGTCAAAAGTCGTTAATTCGGACACCCATAATCCGGACCTCAAAGCTAAAAATTTTCTGCGCATGCGCAGCGCTGACACATGCGCATAGGCATTTACGCATGCACATAAGACCCTTTACAACTGCGCATATGTGTGTGCGCAAGCGCAGAATACGTTTTCGCGTGCATGTTTTATGTATAACGGACGGTATAAGCTAAAATTATCTAATTATCTATTTCAGTTAATGTTGATGATTGCGTTGTTCCTTAATCTTCGAATTGGATATGGCTTATTATTTTTTGCAGATTATAAGAGCAATTTTATAAAAGTAAACTTGAACTTTCGATTATGTCAAATAGAATTTCCGATTCTGGAGCTCCCAAAGGATCGTACAAAACGAAAGTATGTTTCGATGTCCGTCAAACAAAAAGTGGTATTGCTGCAAAAAATGAATAAAGACATGAAGAATGTGACAGAGAGGTTAGTGAAAACGAAAAAATTTCGATTGACAAGTTAGTCGATATTCTCGGCACAGCAATTAACGGGACTTGAACAGCGGAACTTTGCAACTGAACAAGAAATTATGTCTGTTTATAGAATTAAAGAGAAAGTATTATCACATAAAACGAAGCAACTTAAACAACTTACATTGAAAGAAATGTTTAATAAAGTAAACAAATAAATATTAAGCTTTTTTTTTTTTTTTTTTTTTTTTTTTTTTTTTTTTAAATTTTGATACCCTTTAGATTATAATTGTTCTTTATTTCATAAATTATGGTTTCATATTTTTAATTTTAGAATTTGTGTATGCCATCTTACGAGATTTAAACTGATGATCTATAATCCGGAAAAGTCGATAATCCGGAATCGCCGAAGTCCCGACGAGTCTGGATTAACGACTTTTGACTGTACACATAAGACTCCTTTAATGGCAATTGGATAAACGTTATTACATGAAGATAAACAGTAAAATTAAATCTACTCTAAAAGTGCTCTATTTTCGTCACACATTAGGCCTTAATTTACGGATCCTCAAAATTAAATGTTTACATCTTTTTATCTTATGGTTATTTTTTTTAAACTTAATTTTTTTGGAGGAAAAGGTAAATTTATACAAACACAGCTGATAAAAATTAATACATCATAAGAAAATTAAAAAAAAATTGGAAGGGATTATTAAAACTAATCTTTTTAATTCCTAAAAAAAAATAACTCAATATGACTCATTTCATGCTCTTAGCATTACATTATAATGCCTTACTTCAAGAGAACTGTATTCAACCAAATCAACTTTATTTCCAACTAATACTATTGGGATCTGATGATTTTCACCAAGTTGCTCTTGAATGAAAGGCAACCAGTAAGAGGTAATCTGTTAAATAGACATTTAATTAAGCATAGAGCAGTACACAATAACAAGAACAGTAGCAGTACAGCTATTGAAAGCAAAAATAAATTTCTATATCAATACTACAAAATATACAGCATGGAGAAGAAGAAAAAATTTTCATGTATCAAAATCCAATTATCATGAAACGCTTAATATTACAGGGCTATTTAAATATGAATTATTTTATATTTTTATGCATTGATTAAACAGATCATTGTCATGAAATGATACAGTGATATTTTGAAAAAGTGGGTTAACAAATTTATACTTGAAACTGTAAAATTGGAACTTACCTTATCTATTGTTTCATCATCATCTACGGCATACACAATACATATGACATTAGCCTACAAGGAAAAAATTATGAATAAAGTTGAAAAAATTAAATGTTCTGGTACACTAAATACTTTTTGACTGTACACAACTATAGAAAAGTTGTGTGGATAACATGTGTTTGGCAAAGTTTATGGCTTGAAGGTATAGTTCAGTTCATAAATAAAAATTAACATTTTTTAGGAATTTTTAGTTGATGGATACTCTTGAATTATGACCTTCATTCAAAAAAGTAAGCGTGTACTTCTATAAGTACTTGAATGATATATGAGATACATGCATGCTTGCATTAGCCACTGTTGCTGTGGTATTTCAAAATAAGCCAAAACATAACAATCAGGGATGTGGAGTCGGGCAGATTTTGGGATAAAAGGAGTCGAAGCTGGAGTCACTAAAAGCAGGTCCACCTCAACTCCAGTTTTTGTTGGACAGTTTGAATTTGAAATAAAATTAAAATGAAATAAAAAAAATAATGACAGGCTGAGTTATTTTTATTTGTGAACTATATACATTAATAAATAGTTATTTTCTATTTTATTGACATATTTAATAAATAAATATAAGGGAGGAGGATCGAGGTGATATTTGTCATTAGTGATTAAACTGATTTAGATACTTCATTTAGTTACAAATTTCACTGGTAAATTTAGGTAAGCAGCAACAGCAGCAAGAACTCCCAAAATTGATGCCATTCTTAGGAAGCAAGCAGGAAAAGGAGCAATTTATTGATCAAGCAATGCAATAAGAAAGTACATATTTGATGATAAAGAGGTTGTTAGAATTAAGAACTTTTTTAGAAGACGTAGATAACCCTAATGTTTCACTAACAGAAAGACTGTGGAATGATCTAGCAGAATTGCAAACTCTTCTTTCTACACAGTATATAGCCACAAAAAAGCTGCAATCTGGAGAATTGGCAGGAGGCGAATGAAGAATGTGATGTTTGTTCCTTTCTGAAATGGAGGGTTTACAGCAGAAGGAATCATTTCTTCAATGAAGAAAAGAGAAACTAGTTTGCTAGACAATGAGATCTTGTTGGGTTCAATATTTGTAGATCCGAAACACTGAATTTTCTTGGATGATGAACAAATAAATTAAAAAGGCATAGAAAGCCATCTATAAACTTTCATTAAAAATGAAATTATTCTCAGAACAACTGGAAAATTCGAATTAGGACAGCCAAATTACAGACAATTGCAATCGAGTCTCCATCATTGATTGATCAATGATGGAACACTGATGCAATTGAGTCTAAAGATGAATTAGATTTTGAGAAATATTTTTGGATAATATTGAAAAGACTAAGGCAAAGTGAATGAAAATAAACAGGGTTCATACTCATTTCTGCACATGGAAATTAAGTACTTTTAAGGACCATTAATGAAAAAAATTAAGGACCTATGAGCAAATGGAAACTGAATAAATTCAATTGAAGATATTATCTATGCCTGAATTTCCCTTTTGTAATACCATCCTAAAAATAAAATAGATCCCAAAATAAAATAGATCCATAAGTAGTACGCATTATTACTAAACATGAATTAATTAAGATAATTGTTAATAAGTTTGAAAATAAAATACACTTTATGCAATTTATCAAGTTGCATTAAATATTTTACACTTATAATTGTTGGTCATATTTGAAAGAAGATAAGTGACTTTTACGTTTACTAACAGTTAGCTTTATGTTGATTTTTTTTATGTCTCATTTTGTCACATACTTGGTCAGTCTAGAGGTTTAGTAAATAAGCAGGCAGATTTTATGTCAAACTGAATAAGTTAAAATGAGACGTAAGATCATAATCAGCATGATTCATAAACAAAAGACTGAATGTTGTCACCGCTGCTGTTTGTCTAGAGAGACACCTGCTGATTAGAACAAACCTGAAAGGCCTGATGTAGGCAAGATTGACAAGTGTTGAAACTTAGTCAGACTCTGTTTTGATGCAGTTAGTGTCGTAGCTTTGTGTAGATATCCAGGGATTGTAACCCAGTTAATATACTTTAAGATTCCAATAAGCCATTAAAGCACCAGAGGTGATAAGTTGTTTTGTATTATTTTAAGTCTAAACAGATGCATAGTAGAATATGTTTTACTTGAATTTTTTAGGGTAAGCAGTTAGTTATAAATAATTAAATTAGGTAGTTTGATAACCTTAATCATTATGGATTTACATGACCACTATTAAATTTTATTTTTTAACAACATTTGTTAAAAAAGCCCTATTAAAATCAAAATCTAATAAAATTTCACAGTTAAAGTATATTTAATTTATGACACAGATTCTTAAACGATATTAAGATAATTACGCATTAAAAGCTACAGAGCATTTATGTTTTGTAACAGTCAACAAAATATTTATCCATCATTTTAATTTCAAACTTTCCCAGACATTTTGGCTAGTTTATATCAATTTCCTTCTCTTTAAGCATCTTTTCTAACAATTAGAGATTTGTCTCAATATGCAAATCAAAGCTCTCACTAGTTTCTGCGTCTTTATCTCCTAACTTGTCAACCTCTCCACAATGTACCTATGAGGGTTTAATTGATCTGGTAAAAGTTAAATAGTCCAAAACTCAAGACAGATGTGAAGCATATTATCGCTATGTCTAAATTGGGTTATTCAATTATGGCAAAGCACACGAGGGCTATCTGCCTAAAGGGAGAGATGCCTTTGTGTAGGACTTTCTAAGGGAAACTGGCTCGTATACACGTTACACATGGGGAAAACTACGAAAACGCCCATGCAGCCAGCCCGTTCGCGGGATTCGAAGCTGAGACCGAACTACCAGTGGTCAACGTCTGTACCGCTCGGCCTCTGGTGGGCCTTGCTATGTCTGAAATTAACTACAATATCAAACAAAGGTTTAAATAAGCCTCTTATTTAAAAAGAGCTTAGAACATAAAGGCATGTTCTGATGCTAACAAAATCAATTAAAGCTCACGGTGACGTAATTAAACAAGAACAGTCAAATTCAAACTAATAATGTGGACTTGTGGTCAAAGATTATACAATTTAATTTTAATTTAATCTGGCTCAATAACTCTTATCATATGAGGAAATAGAAATGGGGCATTAAAGTAAAGGTTGAAATCATAAACAATTGGGTAATTTACATAATAACAACTGCAGATATCTTTGAAGAATAATTTCCTTTATGTATTCAGTTTCTTTCTTCACACGTTTCCTTTTCATTTTAGAATTTTTGGATTTAATTAAGGATTTCCGATATTCTAAAAAACAGTAAATGCATTTAAAATGTACAGAAAAAGCGGTTAATTTTATTTCTTTAGTAATATGAATATTCGGAAGAAATATGAAATATATATAGTAAAGGCCGGTTAGGGCTGATGTGGCAGAATTTCTAGAATTTAGTGACACACCGAGAAACAAAATCTAGAAATGGTAAAACTTTTAGAATTTAGAGCAGGCATTGGAAGCAGAATTTAGAAAGGCACTAGGCAGCAGAATTTAGAATCCACAAAGATTGCATCAGGTGGGAAAATGCCTGGTGCCAGCTCTGTGTATGATGCATTAAGAAATATTAGATGAATCTTTTAAATTGAAGTTTTCAATTTCTTTATTAATAAAAAAATCCTTTTCTATAATGCCTGCCCATGTGATAAGATCAGAAGCATTTTTGATATTTTCCATGCTTCTGTCTAGTGAAAAGTAGAGAAAATAAAGAGAAGATAAATATAATTAAGACACAATAACACGCCGAATAAATTTTGTAAATATAACGCTGATTTTTGTTGTTTGTCTTCTGAATTAGAAGATAAATATGTTAAGATTTTGTATCAGAGGTAAAACATTCAAATATTATGTTTTCATTGTTCTTCCATATGTTCTCCAAAAATTAAGTAATTCATTGCAAACTTTCTGTAAAATACATCCAATACATGTTGATATCATGAAGACATTTTTCATTTTGTCATATATTTCTCGAATCTTCTAGAATCGTGGATCTTTAAATCTTGCCTTCAAATCCTAAACTTTCAAAGCTGCAATGTCTAAAATCCTAAAGAAAAATTATCCCTACCAATTATGTAACAGCAAAAAGGCCAGAAATATTTTGGAAAAAAATAGGAGAGAAAAAGTATAAAATTAATTTTATACAGAAAATTGATGCACATTCTGAGAAAATTACATGAGAAAAACTCTTACTATGAAAAAAATTAAAAACAAGACATTTCTAATTAAATACATAGCTAATTTTGCTTTTGCTAAGAGCTGTTTCATAAATTGTGCTTTATAGCATTATATCTTGTTAATTTTTCAGATTTAAAATATTGTATAATAAGTTGCCAAAATGAAACTTTATAATATGACAGCGAAAAATAAAACTGTTTTATTTTAATGTTATTTTTAAAATATAATTTCAATATATTACCATTATTTTAATAAAATTTATCAATGTTACGATGTCTTAAAAAAAATTGTCGAAAATTCTCAGATCTCGGAATTAAAGAGTTTCTGTAGAAATTAATCTTAAAATTGCCAAAATGTTGAAAAGTCGCCAAATTTAGAACCGTTTAATAAAGGAATTCACATCCCCAAAAGCGAAAAGTTGTTTAAGAGCTCTTTACTAGAAAAAATTAATTTCAAAATGCTCATGTTTTGCTTAGAAGCTCTAGTACCCCATCATTTATATTAGAAATAGAAACAAATTATAATTCATGAACCCATTCAAAAGATAACCATATATATGGCAGTGAATCACCAAAAATATTCCTCAAAATGCTAATTCACACTCAAAATGGCAGTCGTAAAAACAGCTGGAAATTTCAGATGATTAAAATTAAGGACCTTCTGCTGATTTTGACCAAAATTAAGAACTTTTAAGGACCAAAAATCTATTCAACAAAATCTAAGAACTTTTAAGGACTCTTAAGGATCGTACGAACCCTGAATAAAGAACCAACAGCTTTTAGATATAAAAATTAAAAAAATACAAGATTTCTACATGGTCTTTGAAGAAATAGAGAAATATGATTGCGCTTGCAAGAAACCTCTTTTAGAACTTATAAAAATCTATCCTAAAAAGTTAAAAGGAGTAGCCCTAACAATAGCAGCTCTTCCTCCTACTCAAGTTAGTGTGGAAAGTTCTCAGCTCTGAAATTTATCAAATCGAATCTATGGCCCTCCAACAAAGAAGGTCTTGCCGAAACTATACTGTTTCTTAGAAATAACTAATGTCAGTTTTTCCATTTCGTAATAAATACTAATTAATATAAGTAATTTGCTATGCCATCAATTTTTTTTTCTGTAACATCTATTACTTTTATATTAAAAAATAAGCTGTAAACCATGTGTATATGTTTATATACATATATATGATGGAGTCGGTCATTTCCCCTACCGACTCCATAGCCCTGATAACAATTCTACTGAATGTCAAAACATTAGACACAGATGATATCAGAAAGTATTAAAGTCATTTTAATAAAAAAATTATGCACAAAAAGATAAAAAATAACATATTTGAGAATTTCTTTTATAAAAACCAAACAGCTTAGTTAAAATATTTAATATTTTCTGGAAACAATACATTACAGAATAAACTCATAGCATAATACATGCAATAGAATTTAAATTCATAATTAAATAATTATTTGCATAGCTATAAAATGGAATTCCCTATTCATTTAATTAATGTAATATATTGCAATCATGTAAAAATAAGAATCATGTAAAAATTAGATTTTTAAAAAAAAAAGACAAACCTTATGTATTTCAGTGATTAAAGAATCTTCTCCTTGTTCCTGAGCTGTGATAAAGGTACATAAATTAGAATTCTAGTACAGAAAAATATCTGATAAAAGGTGATTAAATTCATACTTTAAATAACAGTAAGACTAAGCAAGTTTGATTCTTTAGAAATGAATCTGAAATAAAATGAGTCAAAAATACAGTAAAATTTAGTATTTTCCCTTACCTTTTATCAGCAAGTTTTGGAAAATCCAGTGGAACATTATGTAAAGTTACTATAAAAATCCTGTATTTAGTTCATATAACATACTCAGTATTTTTACATATATAATAAGCTTTGAACTGTATTTACATTTTTAATCCATAGTTTTTCATAGAAGAGACTAACATGCAATTAAAACTGCCTTTTGTAACACTTTTAAAATTCCTAACCATTTTCCGCTCTAACATGTTGTAAACAGCGAACACTTTCTTAATTAAAGAATAAAACTTTTTTTCCTTGGCAGCGTATGTATCTCTCAGATTCTTTCAACCCACATAATTCTAAAAGAAAATCAGCCTGCCTAACTTTACACTCTCTTTGGTGTGTCTGTATATATGTTGATAAAATGGCATAAAATACTGTTTCAGTAAGATAAAATTATTGACTACTTTTTTTTTTTTTTTTTATTTCAAAAGAAATTCCACTTTGGTAACTTCATGGATATATATATATATTAAAATCCCATTTGTAATTGTGTGCTATTTTGTTTGTCATATCGGAGAACAAGAAATTTTATATGAATGACCTTTCATTCACATAAGTTTGACATTTATTATTGCTTAATTTTACAATTAGTCATGACATTTGTTTTAAAAAGACATGGAATATTTTTATAGTGAGAATAAACCTTAAACTACATTTTTCAAAGAAATTTCACTTTAGACTACTGGCTAAATTAATTGTAGTAAAAAATTTTTAAATGACTGCCCTTTTTTGCATGTAAAACAGCATTAATGGAAAGAAGGATTACTGAATTTTATAATCTGAAAAAAGGCTATGTAAGTATCTCTAATCAGTTTCTAAATAGCAATGGAAACTTGAAGTTTCCAGACTTTCCACCAAAACTTTACTTCTTTGTTAAACACAATGCCATGGCACAATTTAACGATTTTTTACAGAAGAAAAGGTAAAAATTACTCATCGGGTGCAAGCTGTTGGCTTTTGCGCTTTTTTACTTCCTTGTACGAAGTAAAAAGGAAGTATTGTAATCACGAAAAGTTTCAGGCAACCATATTTCAACAAAAATATCCATTTTGATCGCTATTGAATGCAATTTAATGACGTTTTTGCATGATATCTGTACATAAGGACAGAATAAAAGACTCTTTCCCTCCAAAAAATTTATAAAACTGCTTTAAAATTAATTCTGAAGAGAATTTTTCGTGGCGTCTGTACGAACGTATGTACGTACATACGTACGTATCTCGCATAACTCAAAAACGAGTAGCCTCAGAATGTTAAAATTTTGTATATAGGACTGAATAACATGTAGATGTGCACCCTCGTATTTTGGTTGCAATCGGCTGCACCAAACCTATATAAATATATTTATATTCATATAAATATATTTTAAATATATTTTAAATATAAATATATTTATAAATATAAATATATTTATATTTATATCTACTCTGTTACCCGGCACAGTGATCTCAGCTTCTTTACTCTTATGTGTTTGTAAATTGTACATTTTTTGCTTTAAAAATGATTGAATTATGTTGTTTTTATCTTCCGGTTAAGGTTTTTATGCCTTTCGTAATTCTGGAAGCAATATTTGTACAATTATCAACAATTTAAAAGCTGTTTAAGTGTGGTCAAGTTTTAAATAACATGGCGGACATATTTGTTTACATTTGAAACAGCAGAATTGTAGATTTGTTGCCAATCTAGAGAGACTAAGCTTCGCAACACAAAAATAATGCCTTCATTTATTATTGTGAATTAAATCATGCTTAATCCTTTCTGGAATTTTTTTGAGGAAATAAGTGTTTAAGATTTACTCCATAATTTTTAATGCAGATATTTTGAGTTCTTATGTATTTTTGCCTTGCCGCGAAGTGAGAACTGAATTAATTGAATGAGAAATACTAAATTGTCTGTGAAAAACTCTTTCTTTTCTGTTTTGTTTGCTTAATTTCTTTCATACATCATTTTAGCTTTATTATAGTATTTGAATAGAACAAGTGGCAATGATAATTCTTCAAATGATATAAATTTTGTGCATTCAGAGCGTCGTTATAGTAAACAAATATAGTGAATTTTAAGAGTGCATTTATTCTATTGTGGTTTATATGCTATCTACGAAGTAGATTTAATTCAATCCAATCAATTGTTCAAAAAAAAAAAAAAAAATGCGTATAATTTAATATTTCGTACAAGGAAGTCATGTGGTGTACACATCAGATATTTTTAAAGAAAGATTATCCAACTACTGATATTCCTCATTAGTTGATAAACGTTACTAACATACAAAAAAAAAAAATAGTAATTTAAAAAGCAAATTTGAATTATTAAATATGGAAACACTCAACAAAACACTTACTTTCTTTGTTAAATGTTTCTGTAATTTTTTTTTTTTTTTTTTTTTTTTTTTTTTTTTTAAGATACACAACCATCAGTTTTTACTCAAAACAACATCAGAGAATTGCAAAGATTTGACACTGTGCAAATCTCGCCTAGCTAACAATTGCAACTCCTCGTTGTTCCATTTAGAGATTTTGAAGCAAAATTCTGTATGCCAGCAGAAATTTTACACTACTTCTGGCAAATTCCACAAGAACTTGGAATACAGCAAAAAAGAAGACATGCACAAATGCACTTTGCTTGAATGAAGGATTGCTATGAGCATGTTTGAATGCCAGAAGAATGGTTAATATGTATGATTGTCAGAGTTTGTAACATTCTGAAAATATGGTGACTTCTACTAAGGTGGTTGTGTTAATACATAAGTATACTCATTTACGCTACAATGATTATTTATTAAATCTGCATTTGCTGCTTAAAAAATTGTCAAATTAAAACACAATGAATTCCTCTTTATGTGAAGGATGGATATGATTTTAAATACTCAGAGTTAAACTGAGATACAATATAAGTTATTAGTTCATAAAATTCTTCACATTTAAATCAACTAAAACTTTTTTATGTCATTAGCTGTTAAAAGTTTTATTTTATAAAATTTGGAAAATAAGTAAGAATCTGTATGTATTACACTGCAAAAAAACTGCAGCAACTAGAGCCACTAAATTTAGAAAACAGTTGAATCCTACAGCAGAACATAACACATCTTGATGCCCAAACTTTGAATTTCTCTTTTATGATACACCAAATTTTGAACACACATATTCCTCCACTTGAACTCCCTTGAATTTGTTTGAATTTGTCCCTTGAATTCCTCCACTTGAATTTGTTTACTTTATTAAACATTTCTTTCAATGTAAGTTGTTTAAGTTACTTTGTGTTTTGTGCTAATCCTTTCTCTTTAATTCTCTCTTCTATAAACAGTCTCTCTCTATAAACAGTATTCTCTTCTCCTTACCCGCATGCGTAGCGTACACACGCATTAAACGCGCATAAAGTTTGTAGCTTTGAAGTCCAGATTATAGATCATTCCGGATTATGGACATCCAGATTAAAGACTTTGTACTGTATACGCCTTACCCAGCCAATGCATAAACTGCCCCGAGCATATATACACTCTTCCAAAATACTATCATTTGCTTTGCATTGCTACCAGTAAAATTATTCACAAAGCTTTGGAATGCAACACCACAATGACCTTAACAGAGTATGCAAAGGAGTATATTAACAGAGTATACCTATTTCAGGAATAGGGAGGGAGGAATTGGAGAGGGGGATATTTCTGAAATGGTGAAAGGAATAACTGCACTATTGCTTGTGTTTCTGTTAGAGTAAAACATATTTTGTTTTATTCTGTGCCTTCCGTTTCCATTTACTGTGTTTGCAGTAGGTACTTTTTTCATGAATATGTCTGACAGTGAAATATCTGACAGTGTCCTATCCAGAAGATGACTAAAAGTAGTCATCTTCTGGATAGGACACCTCAGAATTTGTTTACGTCAGATGAAGAGGTTTGCAACTATTCTCTGAAAGATGCTCAATATTGGGGTATGACTTGATATGAAAAACTTGCCCATGCTGACTCCATGTTTTCCATTTTTGGGACAGCCAGCAATAAGAAAGATATAACGAATGTTTCAAACCCACTTATCTTTTTTGAATTATTTTTGATGAAGTGCTCATGCTTCATAATGTTACTGAAACTAAACATTTTGCAGATCAGTATATGAAACAACATCCTGCAAAAGAAAAATCAAGAACAAAATCTTGGAATCCAACCAATTCAAAAGAAATATATGTTTTCTTCGGAATACTGATTTTACAAGGTTATTGAGAATATTAGACTTTACTGGTCTAAAATTAAATTAATTGAAACTCCATTTTTTGGGACAATTATTGAGTAGAAATCATTTCCAGCTTATTATGAAGATTTGCACTTTTTTGATAATAGTACTTTTGTTGAAAATCAATCTTTTGATCCAAACCCAAAACTCAGAAAAATATAGCTGTTTTTTTCTGACTTGATCAAGAAATTTTCATGTGTTTATACACAAAAAAGGGATCTGAGCATTGATGAGAGTTTGATGCTTTTCAAAGGCAGGCTATCATGGATATAATACATACTGTTGAAAAGAGCTCATTTTGGAATAAAATTCTTTACTTGCTGAAGCAGAGTCAGGATATACTCACAATATAATCACGTACATAGGGACGAGTACAGTATTTGTAAAAAGTATGAAAACTATGGAGTTGCTACAAAATTAGTAATGACACTTATTGAACTTTTTAGGAGAAAAGGCTATTGAGTTACTGACAATTTTTATCTCTCCCCTGATTTAGCAGACATTCTTATGCAAAACACCACTGAAGTATGTGGAACACGCCCCAAATGACGTGATTTGCCTGAAAATTTCAACAAACTTACTTCGAAGAAAGGTGAAATTGTTGTTTTTCAAAAAGGAAATATTACAGTAATGAGATGGCGTGACAAAAAATATGTATAGCTTCTTAGCACTTTTCATAGAGCAACCTGTTCTGAAACCGATAAAAATGTTAAAAAGCCAGATATTGTTACAGATTATAACTTGACGATGGGTGAGGTAGATAGAGCGTATCAGGCACTAGTTTGTTATTCAACAACTCGAAAAAGAACAGAAAAAGACAGAAACATTATTTTGTCATCTCTAAGATATGACTATATGGAATGCCTTCATCTTACAAAAGAAACAACTCCCAAATATATATAATTATGACTTCCGCGTATATATAATTATGACTCCCAAATATATATAATTATGACTTCCGCGTACAACTGGTGGAACATATAGTTGAGAAATTCAGTGTTACTGCCAAACGACCAACAAAAGTTACAAAGTGACCATCCTTCATGACTTACTGCTAGACACTTTCCGGACTTAGTATCATCATCATCTTCAAAGAAAAATGCATCGAGAAAATGTGCTGTTTGCTCAAGGAAAAAAAAAGTTTGCTGTGAATCCCGCTATCAGTGCACTGTATGTAATGTTGGTTTATGTGTATAACCATGTTTACGGATCTATCACATGGCAGATATGTTTGAAAACCTTTTAAATTATACTTTTACTCTAATCATAAATTTTCTATTTTTAGTTTTTCTTTTATTCTTTATTTTGTGAAAGTAAACAGTTTTTAGACAGCAAAACTTGCACTTATTTTCCCCCTATAGCATAACTATGTGCGCCTGTGTAAAAATCGGTGACAATGGGAAGTGAATCTTGCAGGTTTTCCATGGCAGTTCAGGAGTTAATGAAGATGATTGTGTCATACAGAAAGAATGAAAACTAAAACTCATGGCAATGTAAACCAAAAGATATCTTCAATGCCAATGAAACCAGCTTATTTTATTAATGTTCATCCCAGACAGCATCAACATTAAAATGAAATACAAGGTGTATCCATTAAATATCAGGACTGTACATGTAGTTAATGAATGAAAATGTGTAGGAACGTGTCATCATGCGGATGTGATAGTGTAACAAGTGAGGTGCGAAGGTGGAACAAATGCACAGTGATTGCGTCAGCATTTCCGGTTTGAAGAAGGTAAACACAGGTGGTTCATTAGAGCGCGTATCACGGTTGATGATGAAGCAAAGAGTGAATATCAAATTTTGATTCAAAATTGGGAAAATGACGAGTGAAACCTATGAGTTACTGAAAATTGCATATGGAGATACCGTTATGTCCCGCTTCCGTACTTTCGAATGGTGGGAAAGCACAGAAGATGACTAGCGCAGTGGGCGACCCATCACAAAATGAACAGAAAATGAGGTCATCAAAGTCCACGTTTTGGTGACTGCAGATAGCTGAAAGATACTTAGGATGCTCGCGTACAAGTTAAATATGGACAAGGACATGGTACACAAGATTTTGAGGAAGAATTTGGGAAAGAGAAATATTTGTTCATGGCTTGTGTCATATTTTTTTAGATGATCAGAAGCAGTGCAGAATGAAAGCCTGTGGGGACTTAATCGATGTAGCTGACCGACATCCATCATTTCTGCAATCGATCATGACAGGCGACGAATCCTGGTGTTATCGGTACGATCCTGAAACAAAAAGACAGAGTGCCGAATGGAGATCACCATCATCTCCAAGACAGAAAAAATTTTGTTTCCAGAAGTTGAAAGTGAAAGTCTTGATTCTTTCTTTGATGCACATGGACTGATCCATCACGAGTTTGTGCTACCTAATCAAATTGCCAACAAAGTGTACTACAAAGCTGTTTTGCACTGGTTAGTTAAACGAGTACACTGTATATGACCGAATATGGGTAAAGGCAGCTGGCTCCTACTGCACAACAATGCGAAACCCCACTATGCTCTCAGTGTGAAGCACTTTTTGACAAAACTTGACATTGTAGAGGTTTATCATGCTCCGTTTTCTCCTGATTTGTCACCTCCTGACTTTTATTTGTTTCCAAAACTTAAGACTGCTCTGAAAGGGCATCGATTTCATGACGTAGATGACATAAAGAGTAACTGCTCAACTTCGAAGCATATCTTTAGAGGATTACGAAGCATGTTTCCAGAATTTGTACAGCTATGCACAAAAGTGTGTGACTGCCGGAGGTGATTATTTTGAGAACTATTAAACGTATTTTTGTTTTTTATTATTCATTCTGTTGTATTAGCCTCAGTCCTAGAATTTAACAAACACACCTTGTACAACATAAATAAAAGAGAAATATTTAGGAGGCAACCATAACAAAGTTAAGTTACTGTAGTGTTATCTGCAAATGTGGTCGGAGATGAAAACTTAAATCCTTTACTTATAGAAAAGAGTAAAAATCTAAGATGTTTTGGAAGTATTAAATCACTGGAAGTAGAATAAGAACTCATGGACAACCTCACACACTTGTGAAAAAGGGTTAGAAGATTAAATAGATAAATACATCGCTGTGGAAAAACGAAAAATTGTTCTAGTGATGAAAAACTGGAGTGGTCACCCTCAAGATATCAAAGGTGAATATAAAAATGTTAAAGTTCTTTTCCCTTCCTCCAAACCCCCAACAAAACTGCAGCCCATGGATGAATCGGCAGCAAAATATAGTGTTACAATGTGCTACAAATATAGTGCAACAAACAAATTTTGAAAACTTGAATGGGAATTGAAAACAATGCAATCTGCATTGTTTTCAATTCCCATTCAAGTCAATTCAACAATTCAACAACAACAACAGGATTCAACAGGTCAATTCAACAGGAACAATGCAATCTGCAACGTTAACTGAAATATATAATTAGATAATTTTAGCCTAGCTTATACCGTCCGTTATACATTAAACGCGCATGGGTAAACGCATTATGCGCTTACGCATGCGCAGAAAATTTGTAGCTTTGAGGTCCAGATTATAGATCCTTCCAGATTATGGACATCCATATTAAAGACTTTGTACTGTAATTAAATTTGTTTTGAAACACCTTTACAAATTCTACATGTAAAGATAAATTTAACTTTTTAAAACATACTGCATATTTTACCAATTCAACATTCTTGCTTTACAAGGATCATGCATAAAGATAAATTTTACATTTTCAAAATCATTTTACATTCAGAAACACTGTAACTGGAAGTATATGTTATTAATAGATTACCCTACTATAAAGATGCACATGAAGAAATCTTAAGCTATAATTCATGGTAAGTAAACATTTATTTTTTTTTTTTTTTTTTTTTTTTTTTTTTTTTTTTTTTTACCAGAGTAATCAACTATATTTGTAGGTACTTTCTCCGGAGTAACATCAGCTGGAATTGTAATTTCTTCAGCTCGTGGAGGTACTTCTTCAGGAAATTCTTCACTTACAAGGGAAAGGATAAGGGATGTTTTACCTACACCAGCTGTGAATGAAAAAATAACTTCAATTAGAAAACTGAAATAAATATAAACAAGTTCAATCAGAAAATTTAAATCATATTTTGAATAATTTTCTCTATTCCATTAACAATTTTTTTAAGTTTAAAAATATTTATAATACAGATATTTAAAATATTTATATTAGAACATAAATAATATGCATCACACAAGGGGAGAAATATTACAATTTTAAAAAAGTAACTTTTATCAATAAGTTTTATGTAAACAATATAAAAAAGCATTTAAAGCCATCTTATTTAATACCCAGGAAAAATTAAATATTACCAGCAGCAAATCTAATATCAATAAGGTCTACACATGCTATTTATTTTCTCATTAGATTTCTTTGACATACCATAACATGGTGAGTCAAATGTCATTCTTCATCAGTCAAATGTCAGTCAAATGTCATTCTATCAGAAAAAATATTAACAGATTAATAGTTGAACTGTCTCACCTTTCATGTACTAAAGGAAATATACAGGGTGTCCATAATTAAACTTGAAATTTGCGAGCAGTCTGTAGCAAAAACTATGCAGCAGAATTGCATGAAAATTGGTTAATGGCAGAATGAAATGGTGGGAATTTTATCGAGGGGGGTACAATGAGTTTTAAAAACCACCACTAGACAGCGTTGTGCAATGTAAACTATTGGCATATGCAAATGTCGTAACCATAGTAATCCTGTGCGTCCACAACAACTTTATAAAGATGTGAGAGGCGAACCACAATCATACTCATTTCCAAGTTAAGGAAGATGACACCGACTCTCTAGGAATGTGATTTAGTGGTGAAATTGTTTTAACAAAATGGGGACATTTTGGTAAAGTGTTTTGTAGAAATTTCAGTCTTTGAAACAGTTATAAAAAGGTCCACTCGCTAGTCAAGGACATGATTAGGAAATTTGAAGCAATGGGAACACTGGGGATTCAGCCAAGAAGGAGATGAAATACAGGTAGTGGATGATGTAGCGACGCAAGTGAAGGAAGACAGATTGCACACTATCGGCAGCACTAGTGTTGGGTGTACTGCAGCATCTGTTGACCAACTTTGTTCTATGGTTCCTAAGATTCTTTAAAAGGTCTTATGCTACTCTTCCTATAAACTGACACTAGTGCAGCAGCTCTTACCAGCTGATCTGGATAGTTGACAAACTTTTGCATTACAGTTTCTTGCTTTAGTTCAGCTCTAGGATGAATGGCCATGGAACATTTTGTGGACCGACAAGGCCCATTTTCATATGGAAGGTGAGGTTAACATGCACAGTTGCCGTATTTGGGCTGCTACAAAACTACATCAGTTCCTACAAATACTTTTTGCATGCAACGGTTTGTTGCGGCTTTACTGTAAACTTCGTTGTGGGTCTCTTCCCCCCCCCAAAGAGCACAGCGCCGCAAGGCCTGTGACATGCAAAGTCACCAGTCAACGATACGCTTCATTATTAGAGCAACCTGTTATTCTGGTTTTTCAGGCAATGAGGTGTGATACAATCGCAGTGCTTATGCGGGATGGTGCTCCACCACATATCGCACGTTGTATGAAAAAAGTGCTGGGCCCGCCATTTCGGTAACGACAGAATCAAGCTGGCAATTTCCTACAGCTTGGCCTCCTAAATCCCTGACTTGAATCCTTGCGACTTTTGCCTGTGGGGATACCTGAAGTGGTTTACCGTGATCCCATTACATCACTATTTGACCTTAAAGAAAGCATAGAATGCCATGTGCGTAACATTTCCCAGTTCATGCTGCTTTCAACAGTTGAACATGCGATTTTATGCTTCCAGATGGTAGCAGACAATGGTGGACATCATAGCAAGCATATTTTGCAAACTTTTGTACATTATTAATATGTTCTCAATAAAACTATGATACGCCACCTGGAGTGGTTTTTCAAACATATTGTTTTTTTCTTCCTTAATAAAATTTCTATTATTTCATTCTGCCATTAACCGAATTTCATGCAATTACGCTATATATAGTTTTTGCTACAGACTGCTAGCAAATTTCAAGTTTTTAATTATGGACACTTTGTATGTATACTGTTGCATTTTTGTAGGGGTTCGAGGACTTGGAGTGAATAACAACAACGGCACTTGATGAAGTATCAAAACACAATTTATTAGATAGCATTTCTCAGAACAGCTCCAAAAACACGTTTACAGATGTCAAAACTGCAAACACACTGAAACAATCAGCAGCACGACTATCAAACTATAATGGTGAACACAGCTTCACAGCAAAGCACCAGAGTACAGCTCCCAACTCGGTTCAGTCCACCTCGGAACTCTACTCTACTCTTGAGACCCTCTATGCTACCGCTTGCGAAGCACTAGACGATACACTCGATAGCCTCAACGATGCACCAACAGCATACAGCGATACAGCCGACGACCAACTCGAGAGTAGACTGATGATCAACTCGACTTTTCACTGACTGACTTGCTAAACTCTCACTCACCGACTCTGACTGACTATCAACGTACCAGCGGGGTTTATATAGCTTTTAGCTTGCATTTGAGACCATTCTGGGCCAAACCGGTAACAATTTGTACCAGAAGGTTCTCCATCCATCTATGGCACATCAACAATTTTGTCGCCAAATGGGTGATTTTGCACCAAATATGGCAATCCTGCATTCCCTTGCCATGGCTGGACATTTCATAATAATATATACATTTTTTACAGCAACAATTACAAAGGACTTTTAAGTAAAAAATGTAATTTATTTATATTAATTGGAGATCTACTTTTTAGTACTCACAACTACATGTGGCTTCTCATAAAATTAAATTCTGAAGAAAAGACTAATTTTTCAAAGCAATCAATCATAAAATGAACTTTATGTCATTGTTTTAAGTAAAAATTTCTGCAGATTAATAACAAATGATAAAATAATAGGTAATGCACTTGATTTTCTTGTAGCCTTATCTCATTCATTCAACAGTCCTCATTTGAAAAAGAAAAAATTAAAAGTGCAAATAACTCAATTTACATTTCAGTTTATCTAAACATTTACTTGATATGAAAGAGGTTTTATGATTTCTATGTAGTCACAGATTCTCTGTCCGATGTTGGTTTGTTACTCATTAAAAAAATTATAGTAAATACTGTTGCTGTTGAAGTTTAAAATAACGCAAAAAAGGGAGATACTCAGATAACCATCACTTGGAGAGGTTCCTGAAATTTCGTTTGCCAAATAGGGCGATAAGTGCCAAACAGTTGGAAGAGTGTTTAGGTTGCTAGCCCAGATGTTAACTAAGATAGGAAAAAGGAAAAGGTTATTCTCTTCTATATGCATTAGATAAATCTTTGTACTGATAATCATATGACTTTGTTAATAGACATTTTGAATTCGCTGTTTAATTATTTTCTAAATAACTTAATTACACCCGTAATTAGAATAAGATAAAGGAATTTTTTGGAAGCGCCTTTTGATGCCATTTCCCTCTTGGCATAAAAAAATTTCTCCTGAGGATATGGCGATTTTTCACAATTCAAGATGGCAGAAAAATATGAGCCAAATGCTGCTTATCTGAGATTTTCCCCAAAAAGTAGCTTTAGATTTGCGTAGGTAGCTAAATACTCCATCAATTTCAAAAGTAGAAGGAACAAAATTCTGAACCTAGGGTGGATTCTCGCCTTAAAAGAAATTTCATAATTTCAGAAGAGGACGACGTAATCAGTCTTTTTTTGACCTGTTCATGCTCTCATAGCAAGATAATTTTCAATTTGCTTTTCCATTACTCCTTCCCCCTACCCTAGCAACTGAAAAATTTCATACATTTATTTTTTTGTTACTGCTAATAATTTAATCAAAAATAAAATTATACACAATTTATACTGAATTTTTTAAAATCATTATAACACTATTTCATGATCTTTTTTTATGTAATATACAATGGAGTTAAATACATGGTGCCTTAGCCACATGAAAATTCTAGGCAATTCTTTCTTTGAAATACTAACTTACATTATTACCACTGATTAAAAAAAAAAAAAGTAGTCTAACACGAAATTGATATAAATAATTTCAGGCTTGTTGAAGCACAATTTTCAGCTTATTTTACTGTTACAGATCTTATGTCACTGATAATCTTCTTAGAATAATTCTTTTAATTCTGAGATATTTAAAATACTGTTTTGTTGTCTTGAAATTTCACAAAATTTGCAGCAATATCCGTTTGAAATGCATTTCTGTAGCCTAGAAAGAAGTTATGCAAAAAATCTTTTCTTCACCTGCAAAAGTAATTTGTTTACATTAAAATTTTATACATCTTAGGAAGAATTAAAAAATGCTGCACCAAATGTGCCTCAAAACTGTTACCTTAACCAGTTAACATTAGATTACACTCTGCAATCTAGTATTAATGTATCATGAGGCACATGAAATAAAATTCATAATTTTAAAATTGATTAATAAAACTACACTAAAACTTACATTAGAAAAAAATGAAAATTTAGTCATTTCAGGATCATTCCTACTTTAAACTGCCACTTAAACATGTTTTTATAAAAAATTATGAATAGTTAAATACCCTTTCTATCATTGAACAACTTTAATACTTTTGTCCTATTTAATTATTATGTTGCTGATTTGATATACTAATCTTTTTTTTTTTTTTAAATATATAACAAATAATGCATGTTATTTTTTTTAAATATTATATTAAAATTTTCAGTTATTATCATAGTAAGAATGTTTTCACACCTAAAATTTAAATGTCATCAAACTTATTGCAAGGGAAACATATTCATGAAACACAAATTAAATCGCAATCTAAAAATATATTTCTATCATTAGGGAAAGAGTTTTCGGTTTAATCCTATACGATACAGACGGAATTTGGCGACATTATGATGAGAAATATCCCTTACATAATTTTTAGGTAAAACCATACAGCTTTCATTTTATTAATCAAAATAAAAGTAAAGTAAAACATAAGTACTAACGTTCTCCGACTAGAAGAATTCTAACATCTTTCCTTCCATTTCTTGGACCCATGACTTAACCTGGAGGGGAAAAAATTAAATTAATGAAATTAAAATGCAACACATTTAAGTTTGCAGTAATTAACTTAATAACAGTGATCTCACATTCTTTTACACTTGAAAAAAGTTTGTATATTTTAAGTATGATAAAACTATTTCATTGTTTAGTACGTGAGATCCTACTTAACTGAGAAGTAATTAAGACAGTTTCAAACCTTTTCTTCAACCATGTAACAATTTGTGAATGTTATTTCATGTATGATATAAATAGTTCAAAATTTTTAATATGATCATTTTGTAAATGGAGAAAATACACATTATAGACAGAACATATTTACACATAAGAGACTTAAAGAACTAAACAACTCTTTCGAATACACGTTAAAATATTTTCGAGAATTTTATTATGTATATATCACAAACGAAACTTTCTCTGCTACTCAGAACCGGCCATTACTTTTCCCATGGGTCTTGCACACGGTTTATTAATACACAACTTTCAGAATGGAGTGTATTATAAAAGAAATTCAGATTTCATGTAGATTAAATTAAATTACATTTATAATATAAAAAAATAAGATTTGTGAGAGTTAAAATTGCTCTTATTTATGTTTCACAATTTTGCATCTTGAAAACTGTACGTCTATGATATTTTGGTTTATTGCAGTATAATTATAAGAAAAAAAAATTATAAAATGTTTATCACTTGAAAGGGAAAAAAAATAATGTTTTTATCATCCTTTATTGTAAAAGCAGATATTTGGATATATAATATATATATATATTTTTTAATTTGAATTTGTATGGCAACATTAATTTGTAGTGTAAATAAACAATGCGTTTTGTGAACGTGCGAAATTTAAAAGCTCCTCCCTGTATTGCTACTGAAGTAACTTTCGATTAGAACTTCATCAGACCGCGATTTTCCAATTTCGATGCACATATAATTTATGTTGTTGTTGTTCTGATGTATTTATCCCTTTCTTCATAATGCCCTGGCATCGAAAAGAGTCAAATTTAGTCGGTATCAGAAATATTTGTCGGCGAAGTATGAATGGCTATTTCACTATTATTACTGTATTATGCATAAATATGTATTAAGTTATTTACTGGAGTTTTGCTTCTTATAGGACTATTGGAAAACATTTTTGATCCTCTTAAGGTCCGCAATGAATGGAAAGTACTTATTGTTGATAAACTAGCTATGAGTATACTGGCTACGTGCTTTAAAACTCAAGAAATCATGGCTTGTAACATTGCTAGTACGTTAATATTTTATACCAATTTTGTCTCATAATGTGTTAATGTATAAGATAATTAATTCGTGAGATAAATCTAAGAAAAGTAAATTTTTTAATTCATAGTTTGAATAGCGTCACATGAGGGTTATTTATTGTCTTTGAAAAATCAATAACATTCAGTTACTCTAAAAACTATGAAAGCTCAAGTTTTGAATGCAGTAAACACATTTAGATGTCCATATTATAAAATTTGTGTTTGACTATTAAAGTGCATGTAATGTAAATAATTATAATTGTTCATTTGGTCATTTCCAGGGTAACTATTGGTAAGCATGCTCTTTCATATAACTTGAGTAATTCTTTATTTATTTTTTACAGTAAAGTCTCAAAAAATTAGATAAATTATGTACAAAAAGAATTTTTTTGAGCTTATAGTTAGAGAAAAATTGTACACAAACTAAATTTTTGTTTAAATGCGAATTTATTTCATATGTAAAAGATTTACATTCTACAACACGATAAATATCAAAACAAAACAAAAAAAAAAAAAATCTGTACTATTTATAAGCATTATTTATATTTGATTAAACAGGCTTTATTTGGCCCACCAATGGCTGAGTAGTAAAATCGCTGAACCTGAACTTGAGTTTAAATTCTGGTAAACAGACTGGCTATATAGGAATTTCCATGGTTTTCCCCATGTGTAATATAGATACAGGTCAGTTCCCCTTAGAAGGTACACTATGAAGGCCTCCATTCTCTCAAGTAGACAGCTTGCATGCGTTTTGCCATAACCCAAATATTCTGAATATGTAGTCCTTATTCGAAGGTAAGCCATTCTTGGTTGAATAGTTATTTCGTGACCAGTGGCATAGCTAGCACCCGGTCGTGGTGTCACTCCAAGATAGATAGCTATTTAAAATAGTAAAAACTGTATAAACGTAAACTTATATTTTTATTTATTTAGCGATTTTTTCCCCTCGTTAATAATCAAGTTACAATATTATGTTAATAATAGCACTATTTTATTTTTTAACACTGACGTAAAAGTTAAATGAAATTTAAGTATTGTAAAAGAAGAGAGTGAATAAACTTATTTAATAATTAAAAAATTCTGTACACTGTGGGAAAAAAAAAAAAAAAATGGGGCTGATTGACGAAATTTAACTTGCGTTTTTCATGTCTCGAATGTGCGACTTAGGTTATGTATTAGATTTATATATAGCATTGTTCTAATATAGGTATTTTGACACAAAATCTGACTTTTACTGAAATGACATGCCAATTTTTTTCCATATTTCGATCCTATGACTTAAATTATACCAAATTGCGAAGCTTTGTAAAAATCGCAAGAATAGTTTTTAAAAAATTAGCTCTCAAAATTTAAGCTCCTCAATGTTAATTGAATTTGGTATATACTTATTAGTATCTCTTTTTTTGTTAAACTTATTTGATTCTTCCTTTCACATTTCGAAATTTAGGTTCATTCCAAATCAAATTCGCCCATTTTCTATGCTTTATTTTTAAAATTTGCATTTTTAAATAATTTTTCTACATTTTTCGAAAAACATTTTTGTGTTATAATTTGTAAAATCTTTACCATCATCTTAAAGTAGATGTATTTCTAAGCATACCTGCAAAAAATTAGAGTTTATTATTCACAATTTCTGAAGATATACCTGAATTATATATTAGCGCTTTTTGAAATGTGGCATATTTGTTGAAAGCGGTAATAACATCAAATGTGATTTAAGCATTTTGTTAAAATTATTTGAATGTAAGAACGATGTAGCTTTTCCTCCGCTCATGAACGATGTAGCTTTTCCTCCGCTCATGAACAATGTAAAAGAGAAAGAGAAATAAGTTGCCATAAATAAAGAAGTTCGCCAAGTGAATTATTCTTGGCACAAAGTGAATGTGATATGATGTATTTAGTTATGGCAAAGCACACTAGGGCTATCTGCCTAAGGGAGGGATGCCTTCGTGGAGGACTTTCTAAGGGAAACTGGCTCGTATACACGTTACACATGGGGAAAACCAAGAAAACGCCCATGCAGCCAGCCCGTTCGCGGGATTCGAACCTCAGACCGAACTACCAGTGTTTAGCGACTTTACCGCTCGGCCGCTGGTGGGCTGGCACAAAGTGAAAAAATTCGGCAAGATAAATTTTTGAATTTCTCCGTATATTCCCCGAATTTCTCCAAATTTTACAAAATTTAATATTTAGGCATAATTTGAGACGTAGAATTGAAATATGGAAAAAAATTGGCATGTCATTTCAGAAAAAAGTCCGATTTTTTGTCAAAATACCTATATTAGAACAATGCTATATATAAATATAATATATATCCTAAGTCGCGCTTTCGAGAAATGAAAAACGCAATTTGAATTTCGTCAATTGGCTCAATACAACTAGACACATGGAACTGCACCGCCTTTTTTTTAGCAGTGTACAATCATTTAATTTTTTTTTCTTTTTAGCTTTAACAGCAGCAAACTCATAAATCACATCATCCAAATTTATATATTGTGTTGCTTCGTGTTCTACTGTTAATATGCGAGATTGTGGAGTCTCCGTTTGGGTCATTGTTGCCCGCAGGTAGTTTTTAATTAATTTTAGTTTACCAATGCCAATGATTTTAACTTACGGAGTGCCTATGTTTCAATACCATGTACCTCCACATCAGAAAAATATCTAATTAGTGAGCAGAAATAGGAAAGTTGGATAAATGGTTGTCACTAGAGGGAGCCACATTAGCTCGAGGAAATTAAGGGATAGGAAAAATCGAGAAAATCAAAAGTTTTGACTTTTTTTGGTGGGGGGGGGGGTTGGTTTTAAACGTTTTTTACGTATTTTTAATTTTATAGTCCTTTTTTGGTATTTTTTGTAACTAATTTTAGTTTGCTGAAACTCGTTTCACAAAGCAACTCATTCGGAAATTGTTATAAATAAGTTTAGTGCTACCATAAGATTCAGAAGAGATTTTGTAAAATCCCATTCCACGATGAATTTCAAAAAGTCAAGAGACACCCAATTAGAAACTGTAACTTGGCCGCTTTTAAATGTCTTCTAAATCTTGGTATCTCTAAGAGAAGTTCTATTTCTGAAACCTCATCATAAAATCCGTAAATTTTGAGACAGCTAATTTCAACTCTTCAGTGTTTGCTAAAAGTATAGTATTTGTCTGCAGAATCCCGAACAATAAAGCTATATCTTGAACGGAATTCGATCTACTTTGGAGCTCAGTATTGAATCGGTCAAGACATTCAATTGATGACATATGACACATAGCTGAAATGCTGACAAGTCCAGATCGCGGACTTTGTACTGTTATTAATTTGGTTATCTTCCTTAATTTTTAACATGATAAGCTTAAATATTTAAAAAAGTTATATATTTTATTGCTTTATTGAAACTTAAAAAAGCTTTCGAAACTTTCTTCCTAGAAACTAAATAATTGTTTTGAAGTACATTATTAATTGAAATCCTGTTAGTTATTCTCGGACTTATTAATAAGGGTAATTTATTCTTGATCAGAATTATACGAATGAATCAGCAAGCAGTTCCGATTTTTCTAAAGTTAATGAAAGCAGTTTTATCAGTCCCTAAACATTTAGTTTTTCATAGTCGTTTAACATGTAAATTATAAACTTAAGCACTTAAACAGAAAAACGTGGCAGAATCAGTCTTGTTTCCCAAAGTAATAATTTAAATATTGACCATTGGTGAATCTGAGGTAATATTCATATTTTTTTTCTCGAAGAATTTATTTTATTTTGTTTTAAAATTTATACTTAATCTGTAACGATATAATACTTGTAAGGAAATAATTCACCCTAAATCCTTAACTATCATCCTGGTTACTATAATAGTTTAATGCAAGCTTCTACTGTGCTTGATCAACGTAGATTCAAATTCCTGTTAAATATAGATGCTTATGACTACAGTGTAGAAACATTAGGTTATTTTGAAGCAGAAAACATGAAAAATGAGCAATGCCCTCGCCGGGACTCGAACCTCGGATCTCTCGAGTACGCGCTGAACGTGCTGACCATTACACCACGAAGGTAGGCTAAGAAGGCGGGAGAAATACATTATATACTCCCCTTTTTAAAAGGCTACTGGAAACCCATTCGCTAAATCCTGGTGGGGTAGAATCATCATCCACCATCTTTTTTTTATTTCGGGCGCCGCTGTAAAGACATTAGTTATTCCGAAGCAGAAGACAATGAAAAAATGAGCAATGCCCTCGCCGGGACTCGAACCTCGGACCTCTCGAATACGCGTCTATCGTGCTAACCATTACACCACGAAGGCATGCGAAGAAGGCGGGAGCAATACCTTGGAAATCATTTTTGAAGCCCTTCTAAGAAATCGGAAGCAGGAGAAGGTTGGGAAAAAAAGGTTCATCTTTGGATTATGGTAACTTGACGATTTTTTGGCGAAAATGTGGCGACCAACTCTGCTACAGCAACCCTCTATTTTTTTTTTTTTTTTTTTTTTTCCGCCGCCATTTTCTCTTCACGAAGTAAAGACATGTTTCTTTTCTTTTTATTTACTGAACACTTTTTCCAACAATCTACTAGCCGATTTACAATTATGCCAGAAATTTTATGTAACAAAACTGATTACTCATGACAAATATTAACTGCAAAATTGGGAAAAAGTGCACAATCGCAAACTTCTTGCGCGTTTTTCAGAATAGCACATACACATAAACCATTTACACGTCGACTTATTTTTACTTAAAAAAACATCCCAGAATTGCACAAAAATGGCATTGCACACACTCTTAACTTTATCTATCTACACTGCTATTTACTCATAAATTACAAAAATTTGCACGAAAATGCAAAAAAATTCTGTGAATCTTTAAACTCGGTAAAAAGCACATATATGAAATTACCTGATCGCGAAAAAGTATATACCCTTTCCAAGGATGGACATTTCCACGTATAAAATAAATAAATAATCCAAAAACTTTTACTTCTAAATTATCTATTATATTATAAACGTCACC